CCCCCCCCCCCCCCCCCTCCCCCCTCCCCCCTCCCCGTTCCTGGTTGACACGCTTACGTCACTCGCTTTCTACCTCCCCACGAGCGAACGTGATGTTCATCTTCTCAACTACTGTAGCTAGCGCCGTTGACCATTGCGTCGCTTATCGAGGACCACAACCACGCTCTATTGTTCTTGCATTGTTTTGTCGCATGAGCTTATTTAGTTGCACTCTGGTGTTCGGGTGCGCATTCGTTTGTTTGTTCGGCCTCCGCCTTTGCGCTGATGTTATGTTCGCTGTACTTCTTGTATTCTGTTGCCGCATGCGCCCATGTTTTCGTTCTTTGGTTCGGCCACCCCCGCTGTGTGCTGCTGTTTCGGCAGAGGATTCACACACCACCGGAGGGGCAAGCGCCAGGCCAGCGCGATGGGGGGAGGAGCGCAGGCGCAACGACATTCGCCTGAAGTAGATGTAGAGGGCAGTCAAACATGAATCCGAGACTGCTTGCTGATCTTGGAACCAACCCGGCAACCTGTCCAACCGTTGTGAAAATGTTGGGTTCAGTCTTTCGGTTGAAAGTGTTTGTCTCAGCATGCACGCCCTCCGATGATCTCGGTCAACCGACTGCGGTCGTTCTTGGTTGACGTATGTATCATGATACGCTTAACGCCTTTGGTGGACGCATGCGTGATGATATTCTTTACGCCTTCTGATTGGCTCCGTCGGTCGCCTTTTTGTGCTGACAATTGCTTTCGCCACGAATAGATGGATCCCCTTTCATTTGAAGGGGTTTTGCGCACCAGTTCGAGGGCTACAGCAGCACGGATTTTGTCTAGCCTGGTACTTGAGTAGTCGCGAGCAGCCAGCGTAGACACGAACGCGCAAAGTCCTGAGTTGTCGCGGCGGCCAGGATCCGACGCTCTACAATCGTTTTCTCTGAAGGCGGCAGACAGATCAAACACTCGAGAGTGTGTCTCCGCACCGCGCACAAAGGTCCATCTCCGTTCTGCTTACTCCGACACTTGCCGTTACCGTAGACTACATGATGGAAGACGGATTGCCAACAACAACGCAGAACGAACCGATACCATGCAGGCAAAATATTTCCCTAGGCATTCCCACTAAGTTTTGTGTAGATAGAGAGACAGGGAGAGAGATCGTATAGTAGAGGCGCTGGGCGGCTGGAGGACCACTAAATAGACCCTAGAGCCCGAGAGTAAGAAACAGATGACCTGGGCGAGAAATTTTCCGGTTTCGAGGAAAATGCCTCCCTACTCCCTACTTCATGGTAGCGTTGCTTACAGATAGTACGCACATGTGTTGTAGGCTATGTTTCTCGCGAGGGACAGCTAGCAGGGTCACTACGTCCTCCCAAGGAGCCATGGTGTGTTGCACTTGCTGGTTACGCTGCTACGCACGCGGTGACCCTGGGTGTGGTACGGTACCGCACGCACTACTGCAATCAACCAATCGGCGTCCACAAAACTGGCATGGATGCCACTGCACCAGCACTGCTTCTGATCGGGTGAGCGTGATGAAGAACGGGCTAAAGATTCCCGGCCGGATTCCTCGTGATCTCACATCCATGAACCAACCGGTCATACGGAAAATAACCACCCAAAGGTAGCAATGCATCCATGCACCGACATGTGATGAGCGAATAGAGCCAGTGGGAGGGACAGAACGATAGACCGAAACAGAGACCGAGACACGAGGACAAGAGGTCCAAGCATCCACACACACACACAACACACGAAAGAGTTCCCCTCTCTACCCTGTGTCTCTTTCCCCTTTTCTGGACCTCTGGACCCCTTCAGCGGTTCGGCTCGGTTGTTGGACAGTCGGGTGAAAGAACGGGTGTGGGCTTGAGCTCATACGCTGTAAATTTCGTTGTACGGCGGTGTGAGTGGCAAAGCTCAACTTCAAGCAAAGATCCGAACGGTAAAAATACTGTTCCTGAATTCCGACGGGTAAAAAATAATTACTGTTCTTTTGCCGTATTTTGCCAAAACAAAGGATTCTGATCCCCTGTTGGACCCGTGCACGCACATCTCGATCCTGCCCACTCCCATTTCACTCCTCACATCTCTCTCGCTCGCAGCAACCATCATCTGCAGTTGCACCTGCACCAGCCGTGCCAGCACGACCAGAATAATCCTCTCATTCCATTCACAAGAGATCGAGGACGGCAACGCTGGTCTTTTCAGCAATCATGCGGGCCTCTACTGCGATGAAGCTCGTGTCAGCGGGCTGCACAGCGTTGCTGGCGAGCATGCCAGCTCCCGCTGCCGCCGAGAAGCACATTTTCGACTTGCGCACCGGGAACGACTACGAGAGCGACGCTAATTGCGGTGAGATCGAACTACTGTGCAGCAGCGAGCCGCACCAGTGGCACAAACAACGTAGAATACAACCAATTCTCCGCACACAGTCTCTCCCACACACGACACACCGGGTGCGTTCACCTAGAGAAGAAGGTGCATCCACCTGTCCCTCGTTTTACATGTTCACAGAAAAGATCTTGACCACGATGATCCTGTTCTTCCTTCTAGCAGAACGGAAACACGCCCTCGGCGAGAGTCACCAGTCTGTCAGCGATGAACACACCCCTCGGCAGCACCCAAAAGGCTTTGCATACACATGGCGCTTCACCAAAAACCAATGTCGCTTACAGAGGGCACCTGCAATACCCGTTGCTTCCATGTTCTGTCAGACCTTAGAAGGCACTGGCAAATCTCGGAGAATTACGAAGTATATGCAGTGTACTATTGTAAAGTGTGTTTCGTGATGAAGATTCGGCGGGTAGAAAGCCACCGATGTCACGCATTGTGTGTTGTGCGTTCTATCCGACCATCGTCGTCGCAAACGCCGTAAGGGGGCATACACCATTGGATCAAGGTGCTGATAATTCAGGGATAGGCTGTGGTAAGCTCGGAGAAATGTTTCGATGAGCCGATGCTGCTGGTGTACACAACCATGCTAAGGTATTCTCTTCCTCGAAGAAGTGGATTTGGTGAGGCCTCCTGCGGCGGCCGGTGGTCCCGCCCAACCTTCCGAATATTTCCATTCTTGTTGTGACCATCGGCCCAGGACGGCATTAACTTGAGACTGGCCCAAAACGCACGGTAAAACACACGCCGGCAAACATGTACGAAGTATGGTAGTATTTTCGCTCCTTCATGCTAATTTCTCTTTTGCCTAGACTACGTACTGTAGCTTTAAAATTATAAAGCTACTATTCAAAGGTCTTCGATCCGGTTTTACTATGCTTACGTACGTGGCATGTTTTTATTGTGTCGTGTTTAGTTGCGACTTGTAGACACTACTCCCTTCTCGTGCCCGCCAAAGGATCGTACACACACGAAGTGTGTCTCTGTTTCGCCATGCACCCGCCACTAGTCCCAATTCTCGCCGATGAGGGCGCGCAAACGAGGAAACAACAAACCCCATAGCTTGGGGTTCGTGGCTCTGTCGTTTCCAAACAGTCGTTTCTTATTCTGTGCGCTGCATCCCAACGGAAATCCGCAAGCAGTACGGGGCGTGCATCCCGCGTTGTTTCCTCCATTTTCCTATTCGAGCCACTTCTTCCTGTACTGTTTCGACGACACATGCTCAAGACTAATGATCGCTGTACCCATGACTGCCTCCGTTTCGCCGCTGATTTCCATAGAGGATTCCGAGACCAAGAAGACGCGGTATCTCCAGATTGAAATTTTTGACTACAACAAGACGCCCTGGCTGGAAATTACTTGGAGGTATGGCGCGTCTCGTTCATCGTCACTTCCACAACCACGCCCCAGCTCGCCGATGTTTTTGTTCGGTTCATTTTGATCAATACAAGGTCGCATGCCTCTAGTGTTGAGGGCATGGTGCCAGGAATGCCACACAATATTTGACTACAAGAAAATAGACAATCGTTGCGCATAGTTGGCCGAGCCGTTGATGTCGCTGATAAGAATCAAAACCAGTGATTGGCCACGTCTCTTCACCGAAACTGAGACAGAAGCCCTGTTGCACGTCCATAGGAGGTAGAATACGTAAAGTCTCAGAGACGCATGACAACGGCAGCAATGATTGAGGGCAGAGCACAGCGGGTTCGCCTGTCAAACGCGTGCCTGGTGAACCCTGGTATTTTGATTCTGGGTGTTCGAAACTTAGTCTGCGTTCCTTTTTTTATCTCGTCGATTCCCGGTTTCGTGAGATGATTATTTTATGAAACAAACCCCTCCAAAACCCCAATCAATGTTGCAGGCAGCTGACCGACGAATGCGGGAACGCCATCAGCGATGGCTTCGAAGGGAAGGCGCACTACAAAGACGGAGACAGACAGGACACCTCCAAGTATGAACGTACCTATTGTGTCCAAAACTGTGCTGAGTCCATTCTGAATGCCTGCGATGGAAGCGAGAATGTGCAATCCTCAGACTCCGCAAGGGTTGGTCGGTGTCAAAGAACCGGGTGTTTTTCGCGCCGTTTCCAAATGTCACAATGAGTGATGAAACTATGGATAAGGGTAACCTACAGTACATGTTGCAGACAGTTCACACTATAATGTCTTTTCTCTCTATTCAACCAACTTTATATCGTTCCTTTTTCTCGGGGGATGCAAGCGTATCGGCTTTGCCGCGCGCTCTTTCGCCAGTTCGAGCTAAAGGCGATCTTGTTCAATGTGATTCACCCTTCGTTGAAACTCATGCAAGTTTTGCCTCCACCTCCGCATATGTGCTGCAGCTACCTTCTTCCATGACGTGGTTTTCGCACCATCGTGTTCTGAAATTAGGGCAAACGCCGCGGGACGCCACTCATTCGTTACTCGTTACTTCCCGCGTGTCGTTCCCACAGGTTCCAGATCGACATGTACGTCTGCGCTCCCTGGGGACACTACGAGCTGGAGGTCGTCTCCAAGAGCACGAACGGCGGCAACCCCATGGAGAGGATCGCCTTCGAGGTTGAGTACGGCCCGGAGCAGGTACGGCCGGCGCACGTCCTCTTGCACCGCAGATATGAATTGCGGCCGCAGTTTCACCACGTGTCGTAGCAGACAAAGACGTGTGTGTGCCGCTCGCTTGCCCGCAGCCATAAATGCCGCAAGAGTTCGCTCCGTATTATGGCCTGCAAAGACCTACATATGCTGCTTGTTTCGCTGTTGTTAGTCTCGAACAACGACGACACTCTCTTCTGTCTGTGTTCTGTCCTTAGCTGGTGTCATCGCTCTTTGGTTCTTCTGGTTCTTCTTCCCCCTTCCGCTCGCGCCCCCCGCTCACTCACGCAGGACGAGCCCCACTCGGCGCTGGCTGTGTACTTGTTCCGCGTTGGCCCGGTCTCTCGGATCGGTGGCCATGAGCATAGCGTTTCCTTTGTAATCCCATTCAAATAAGTATTTTGAGCAAAATTGCTCCGAATAGACTATCTATTTCGCGCCGCACCAAGCCTAACGAAGCACGAGAGACAGACGCGGAACCATGACAAGCCCTCCGAGAAAATCCAACGACCAGGAAAAATAACGAAACGCCAGAAAGACAAACCAAAAACCAGAGAGGACCGTTGTTGCCTATGTCCGCTTCTGCAATTTCTGATTTTTCCTCTTTTTCGCCATCAATCCTCAGCGGCGTGGCTGGGGACGTCCCCGAGTACCCCAGTATCCAATACCCCTCCCAAACGTGTAACTCCAAAGCTGCCTCCTGTTTCCCCCGGGCTGTTAATCGCAGTACCACATCTGGGACTCCCTGAACACTCCGTTCTTCGACGAAGACGATCCCCCCAGCGACTACGCCCCCATCCCCACCAAGTACAATGACGGCATCGAGGAAGGCGACACCTTCACGTGGCCCCTCGAAGGCGCCGAGGGCTACTACTCCGTCATGTACTCGGGCCCCTTCCCCCCGCTGGAGTGCCCAAACCTTTTCCCCGAGGACGTCGCCTACGTGGGGTGCTACCCTGCCGGCATGTTCGGCGAAGCCGAGGGCCCCGAAGGTGCGACGAGTACCATCTTTTTTACGGCCGTCTGTGTGCCGTTGCTCTGCCACCCGGTGCTAGTGTAAGGTTTCGTTTTGCTCGAGGTCTACATGCACGTTGGCTGTAGTTTAGATTCTTGAAGGTCCTTCGAGGAAGCCCCTCGGCGTGAAAACTACGTGGTCGGTGGCAATGAACACCCTGGGGCATTCTCGGAGGCGTCTTTATTGACACGGGGGGATCAGGAAAGAAAACAAAACCTTGTGCACTTCTCGTTTTTTTATTTCACCGGCAGCGTGTCTTGGGGGCAGCAGGCGTTGTCATGTCTCTGGATGTTCTCAAGCAGCGTTGCCGCAACGAACGACATCGAGCTCTCTTTGCATGCCGGTCGGGGTCTTTCAGGACATTTCGCCTCGAGACGAGGGTTGTTCTGTCACATGTCCTTCCGCTCCCCAATCCCTACACGAATCGTGCGTGCCTTGTCAGCGACGCAAAATAATTTCCCCCGTCCCCGTGTGTGTGCGCTGCCTACAGGTAGCGCCAACGACGAAGACCCCGCCGAGAACTACCGCCTGTTTGACGGCATCGACGACGAAGGTGTCGCGGCTGACAAAGTCATGACTCTTGAGGTGGGTGGGTTTATTCTTAAGGACAGAGGGGAGGCCGCCACGTAAACTACCAACAGAAAAAAGTGTGGATGTGTTCCGCGGGGCAGGGAGTGGAAGTTGAGAGCGCACGCTTTCAGGAAGAAAGTAGCTGTTGTAGGTTTAGGTTGGTACGGTAGCGGCAAACGTGAGGCAGGAAGGCTAGGACTCAACAAGCAGTTCGGTTTCGAGAAGGGAAACGTCATGCTCCAACTAAGTGGTGATGCGAGCGCGTTGTTTTCTCGTGTCGCATCCTCAATATGGATCTCCTGACGGGTTTCGCTGATATGGCAAGCCCTTGAACTAACTGGTGCTTGCGTTATCCTTCGCGCATGCGGTGTGCGTTTCTCTACTCTCGCCCTCATGGAGGGTGCGCGCACGTTGCGTGTTCGTGCGTCCTGAGATGTTTCGGCCGTTGTTTTGCTCCGGTTCTCCCCCGCATAGCCCCGCACTCGTTTGTTTGGTGTTCTCGAACGCAACCTACCCATCATGATTCTCTCCTCGTCGCCACCCTGTGCGACAGAAATGTGCGGCAATCTGCACCGAGCAAGGAACAGCCTACTTCGGGCTCGAGTCTGCGGTGAAGGTGCGCGTGCCGACTCCAAACCGATTATTGTTACTTCCGCGGCAAAATAAATAAGTCCAGATAGATGCGTCGTGCGCAACGTACGTCTGTTTTGACGGGTCGCAAGCGCAGCCACGTGGCAGATTCCTTCCGAAAGTAGTCGATGTCTAGATAGTAGCGCGATGCGCCGCGCGGGTAGGTGGGGAAGACCCTGTGGTGACAACTTTGTGGGGGCAGTATGTCAAGTACCAAACAGTGCCCGTGAAACAGGCATGCCTCGGGATTGACTTGGTTTGTCCTCATGCATGTGAGAGAGCCAGCAGAAATAGGGACAGCCGACAGGCAAACGGAGAGAGGTCCGCGTAAGAAATCCCCTTGCTTTTTCCCGACCTGATCTGACCTGACCTACATACCTACGCTCCAAACCGGCGAAACCCCTAACGCGACCACCGTAATCAGTGCCTGTGCGGAGACGAGCTAGACGGTAGCCCCTACGACGACGTTCGCGGCGAGTCCGTTTGCGGAGTCGACTACACCGACGACGTCAACATCCCCGAGTATAAGTTCCTCTGCTCGGGAGAGAGCACGGTGCTGTGCGGGACCGACACGCACATGTCGGTGTATTCCCTCAATGAAGGCCGCGAAGTGAGCGAAACGAGCGATGACGGAGACTACGAGCTCATCGGATGTCGTGTGGATGATCGTGAGGCTCGGGTGAGTGAGAGAAGTGAGAATTCCAAGATGGAATAACTCCATCATGTAACTTAGGACGAGGCGGGGGCCACGACAAAAAACAATGTTTCTCCTCTGACGTCGCGAGTGCCGTGTGCTGCTGCTGCTGCTGCTGCTGCTGCTGTTGCGTGCTGCTCATGGTTTCACAACGTAACCCGCACTGGTTGATGTCTTCCACACCAACGACAACATAGAATATGTCTATTTCCAAAGGAAAAACAAACAAATAGTTCGGATGGCACCCCGATCCTTCCGCTTCGCAACGGAGAAAGATCAACACTGACAACGGCATCTACATGCGTTGGTGTGTGAGCAGTGCGAAGGAAGGAAGGGTGAGTGCGAAGGAAGGAAGGGTGACCCTTAAGACTAGGTTGGGCATCATACCCAAGGGCCACGGTAGGTGCTTGAAGCCTCCACTTGGTTTCCCCCCAGCGTATCGTACGATATCACATCTCGTAGTCAACCTTTTTCGTGTGCATTGTCTATCGTCCCCGCTGTGCATCGAGTGTGTAGGTGATGTCAGCGGGGCCAATCGAGGGAGACGCCATGTCCGCGGAGGTGAGCCGGCCGGTGGAAGTCGCCTCTTGTTCGTGTCTCCGTAGCATTCTGTCTCTTACCGAGGGTCACCCAATGTATGTATTGGGTTGGATGAGGCCTCTTACAGGCCAAGCAGGAGTCCTGGCCTGTTACGTCACCCTGCGCTGAGGAAAAACACGGTTGTGTCGGACATTTTGAGGCCGGGAAGAATCACTTGCGCGCCCCGGCTATAGGTCAATCTCGGAAGTCTTCTCACAACACATGTTCTGCACTTCTATCCCGTCGTCCTTGCTCGCTTCGCTGTTAATCCTGCAGATCTGCTTCGACATTTGCCGCGAATTGCACCCGACGTCCACCCACTTCGGGACACAATACGGAAACGAGGTAAATAATATGTGGCTTGATCTGCGGTTGCTGCTGCTGCTACCGATGATGATGATGGTGTTGTTGCTCTTCTTCAACTACTGTGGCTGGTCGTGATCCTGCGATGCTGGCTTTCTTCCTTAGAAGCGGACATACGCGATGAGCGATATATCTTCCATTCTTTCTGTAAGCAAAGTCACGCACTGCATTCGCGCCTTTCGCCGAGCGTTACAAACAGCTTTCCAAGAACCCGAACTTGCTACTGTACGTTTACACCCTTCTTGCGCATCTAAGGCTCATGTTCCGCCCCCGCCCCCCCTCTCGGCTACAACATATACTGCATGCAGTGCTTCTGCACGGACGTGCTTAGGGAAAGCGCGGTTTCGACGGGCTGCACCTACGAGTGCAGAGGCAACCCGGATGAGACCTGCGGCGGGTTTGACATGATCACGGCGTACCGGATCGCGGGCTCCGAACCCAGCGCGGGGGATGGCTACGTTTCGATCGGCTGCCTGGCAGACAAGAACGGTGACAGGATCATGGATGGGCGCATGGTGACCTCTATACCCATGTCAGCCGAGGTGCGGTGCAGGAAGTGGCGGCTGTAATTGTCCTCGGGCACTTGCTTGTTCAAGTTGATGGTGCGCCACCGAAAATGCAAGATCTTCACACGCCCTATGTAAATAATCCAGACAATGACTGAAAACTAGTACCATGTTATAAGGCCATATTTAACAGTAGATGAGAACCACCGTTTTTTTAACCGACAACCTCCATTGAAATTCGTGTTGCTGGCATGCTTGATCTTGGTGTTTTTTCATTGAGCCACTCCGGGACTTCCACGAACGACTATGCATAGGATTTGCTTGCTTTTGGGTGCCCGCCCGTACGTTACAAGAAACGATGTTCAGCAGTTGCCGGGGGACAAGGTCACGTTCACTGCGGACAGCCAGTGCGAAAGCAGGCTAAGGCGTCCATCTCTTCATGTGTCCATCCAAACGTTTGGTTCATTCCGTAGCCCCACCGTGGTGGCTACGATTTAAGAGTGTCGTGACAAGCCAATATCTCTCTCTTACATCCGGTTTTCTCTTAACCGTGTTGGTCACGACTTGAGAAAAATCTCTTAAACCGTAGCCAACTCAGCTACGGCCGTTTAAGAGCCATCCATGCTGTTGCCGAAACCGCCAGGCGAGGTCATGGAGGGCAAAAATGACGTGTTGAGAACGTTGCTGGTGCGTGCATCAGTGCCTTGTTTGTGCTCGCGAGACGTACCGAAAATTACAAATACATCGAGTAAAAAGGCAGCTGGAAAAAACAAGACAAAAAAATATGGCATTGATGTACCACCGTAGAAAACCTCCTCCTCCCCATTCCTACGTCGACCTCAGCACTCTCTCGTTCCTCAAAGCATCGTTGAATGAAATCCCTCATGCAAGTCCACTTTGCTTCCCTTGCTGCGCAGGGTATGGTGTCTGCAGCGGAGGTCGTGTGTGGTATGTGTACGGTTTTGGGTACGGTTAAGCGAAAACGAGAAGAATAGGGCAAATTCTCTTTTGTGTCGGTTAGGGGCGTGACAAGCCAGTTTGACTCTCTCAAACCCGTATTTTGTCTTCAACAAACTCTCTTTAACCGTAGCCACCACTGTATTCCGTTGCATTACTTTTCAAGGGGCAACCTGAACTTTCATCGGCTACTATGGCACGTGAACAATGCTCGTCGTGCGCTCCGGAATCACTGTGTAGCCAAATTTCGAATAATCAATTTTGGAAGGAGCAAACGTGGTAGGACCGATGGACAAACTATGACCGTCGCTTGCTGCTGGAGTTATTGTCCGATGTGCCTTTGCCGCCAGTGACTCCCCTCCTCACTACTCACCTCCTCACTGCTTTGTTTGTATCATATTGTGATCATCACGGTATCAAGGCTCGTTTATTTCTTCTTGTTTGATGCTGCCGTTGCTCGTGTTGTATGCGTGCGCGTGTGCGTTCGTTCGTGCGTGCGTAGATCTGCTACGGGATTTGCAAAGACGGAACAAACACGCACTTCGGCACCCAGTGGGGTAAAGAGTGCTTCTGCATGGCGGACGCCGACTTCGAGAACATGGAAAAGCACGGCGGCGAGCTGTCCACCGCGTCTCACTGCCAAATGGGCTGTGCCGGGTTTACGCACCGCGACGAGAAGTGCGGCGGTTTTGATGAAATGTCGGCGTATGAAATCATCCCCGAACCTGAGGTGAGACTAACACGCTGGGCGAGAGTTTATAAGCGGAACGGGGGGATGCAGCTGCGGTGAAAAAATGACCGGATGTGCTTTTTTCCAGAATGTTTGGTGGGTAGACTCCAGGGAGCCCGAGGAAACCCTTGTGACACAAACACTCGGGGGTGAGGGGTCTTCGACGGAAAAAAAAGTGGAGTATTGAGCCGACGTTCACACAGATATTTTCCGTGTGCATAGGACATGATCTACATCACGTTTGCCAGAGAGACGCACGACGCGCTCGGTCGACTTGTGACAAAATTAGCGATGTAGTAGGTGAGAGCGTCCGATCAACAGTTGAGAATAATCGACTATTGTTGTTCGGCAGGTACCGGTGATCGATGGCCCCTACACGGCACTGGGATGTTTCGAGGACCCTCGCGACGGAGACAAGGCAATGGACGCGTTGTTCACGGACGCTACGACAATGTCGGCTGACGTGAGCACGGATGAAATATTGGAAGTTTTCAATGTCCCCAGACTTCGAATACGTTCGTCTCGCACAGTCAACCCTGCTCACGAATAACAAAAAAAGTCTCCAGCACCAATAGATACCGATATCAGCATAAGGTTCAGCGATATTATAATAGCGGAGCAGCGGAACGTGGTGAGAAATTTCTGAAGGTTTACGTGCATGGAGTACGCTGGAATGAACAAAACGCGGAGTTCAACACCCACCTGTTTAAAATATTGAGACATTCCAACTATTTGTGAAAGGGAGAGTGCCGAAACACCCAGCCACGTGGGCCATTCCAATGATGCGGCAGCTGAGGCTGAAGCGTGCGCGCAACGTCTTGCGCAAGCTAGCCCTTGACGGCCGAACGCCTCTTTCCCTTGTCCGGGCCTCACCCCTCGGCTTATTGACCACCACGTTTTTCTCGCGTGTGTTTGAAGATATGTTATTCGATCTGCATGGAGGAGGACCCCGACTATGAGTTCTTCGGCACGCAATGGGGCATTGAGGTACGTCGCTGTACTTTTGGATTGGTGCGGTTGTCGTTGTCGTAGGCGGTGTTGGTACGGTTTGTTTGCTCAGGGTGTTGCGATCTCGCTATGTCCTCTTAACGAAACCATTATCCTTACCAAAGCTAGAGAACATGGGCTTTACGTCGACGCATGGGTTGTGGTTGGTGTCGGCCCGTCAAACCGTCGTTGACTGCTTCCAAGTACTTGGCTGCATAGGCGGCGTAGTCTGTTCCACCATCTATCGCAATCAGCATCGTAATCGCGCCCACTGCTCCCGACTCCGTCCCTCAAATCGCTGAAACAACAGTGCTGGTGCTCGAAGACCTTCTCGCAAGAAGATGCAGGTGCCGTATGCAACATGTTCTGCGCGGGTACCTCCGATGACGAGATCTGTGGCGGGTTCGACAGCATCAATGCCTTCCGCATGAACTGAAGGGAGTAATAATCCCCCGCGTGACGATTACCAGCCATTCGCTGAACGCTGTGTACCTGCAAATACTGTCGATTGAAGAAAGACGAAGCAACAGTCACACAATGCAACAGGATATCGGCGAACACCTTGTAGGTTGAACTTGCTGGCTACGCAACGATATGTTTGAGACCTTCAATTCTGTAGTGCTACACGGTAATCGTAAAATGAGGGTTCACGAATGAATAGTCCAAAGTTGAAGACTTTTTCTCCGTTGGGGTTGTCTTCCTCGCTTGGAATGGATGCCCGCATCTTGAGCATGGGAATGGAACTACTGTAATCAGTTGTAGTGCTGGCCGCCCCGGTGGTCTAGTTGGTAACGTCGAAACTTTCTAGAGGTCAGGTCAGGGGTTGGATTCCCGGCGTAAGCGAGCTTTTCTTGCAAAGTGAGTTTTTCTCTCGCTTCCGCTCCTGGCCTAGTGGATAGCGCTAGTTCGTGTGTACACAGAGGGGAGAGAGTGCTGAAGTCTTCTCGCATTAAAAACCGAAGGCAAAGTACCGCAGGGGAGGACGGGAGAGAGGAGCTCTTCTGTGTGACCACGGGTTGGAGTAAACGGCACTAGTGCTGAGAGCGCTGATTTGAAGTGAAGACAATAAAAAAAAAAAAACAGTAGTATGCAGTCAGTCTCTGTCGGTCTGCGTGCTCCACACCGCATGGCTATATAGTGAACCAGAACGGCATCCATCAGTTGCGATGGTAGAAACCATTTTCTTGTTTGATTTTTTGAATGTCACAAAAACGTGATAGAGTTGGTGAGAGATGTGTTGTATTGATCGATATATTTTCGTACTGGAGTGGTGCTCTGGGGTGGGGTGCGAGAAAAATACACAACATATCGAGCGTCTGCAGTTTGGTTCCTTTCATTCTGTGCCGTTAGCTTTCCGGCCATGATGTGAGCAGAGAGTGTGGTGAACACGTTCGTTCGTTGGTGGTAGCTTGTGTCGCAAGAATACGCGATCTGCTCTTCTTTGTGATGGACTTGAGTGCTGGTTGTTTTGGATAGACTGGAGAATGCCGTGTTTTCTTGGAGAGCTTGCTGGCAAAACGTTGTAACTGTTTAGTTGTATTATTTCGCGTACGCACTCAGTTGGAAGGGCGGCGATGGCAATGAAAATATGTGACCATGTCACGCGGAACAATAATTGATATATAAACGTATAAACGTGTGCGTAGAGCGTGCTCGTTTGCAGAAACAGTGACACCGTGTCCAATGAAATAGTTGTTCAGAGAGAAAAGGTTTTGTGGTACGTTTTTTTTGTAGGAATGTCATCGTACGTCGTTTCACTAGAAAATAGTGAAGGAATTCTCTGTTGTATTCTTGACATCGTGTTCGATCACTTGGTATAAGCATTGGATTGAATGAAGCAGGAGGTCCTCGCCCCTGGGTATCGAGCCGGCGTGAAACGTTTTCGCCGCGGTGACATGCCTATAGGTAGGCAAATGATGCGGGTGAAATATCAACTACTTCCTGTTGCATTCTGACACCGTTGTCGATCACTTGATGTGAGTATTTGATTGGATGGGGCCTCCACCCCCCCTGGCTGGCGGGCCTACCCACACTTCCGCTGTATTCACCTACATCCCTCGACGTCAGGCCGGGGGACGGGTTAACGCCTCGCAAGCCCCACACCTTTCTTGAAACCGGCCGCCGGGCGCGTCGAGAATCGCTCAGCCAAGTCCGGGTCCGACGGCGTATCGTTAGCCTCTGCGGAACCTCTATCTTACTTGCGAATTTCTCCCCACGGGTCGCTGTTCGTTCCCATTGTCCGGGCTCAAGGCGCCCAGCTTCTAAATATTCTCTTTTTTACGACACCGCGCGAAACGTTCCGAAAACACCTCTAACGGGCACAACTCCAATATTGCTGTGCTTCCACGCCCCCCGGCTGTCGCACAAGCCATCATTCGGCCGAAGCCAACATGTGATCCCGAGATACGCCCAAGAATGTGGCCGCAGCACGACCTTGCCGGTGTCGTAGATAAGTGCGTATTTACGACACCGCGCGAAACTTCCCGAAAACACATCCAACGGGCACAAACCCAATTGAGCTCTGTTTCCACGGCCCCCACCTGTCGCGCAAGTCATCTTTCGGTCAAAACCATCATGTGGCTGCCGAGATACGCCCAACACTGTGGCCGCAGCACCACCTCTGAGGTCTCGTGAGAGTATGTACGACACCGGGCGAAACGTTCCGAGACCACATCCAATGGGCAATATTGCCGGGTTCCAACGGCCACCAGCTGTCGCGCAAGTCGTCATCCGACCGAAACCAACGAACTGTTGCCGCTACACATGTAGACCTACACATGTTGTCATTTTTAGGACGGCCGACCGAGGGCGAAGGGTGGATCGGCTGCATTACCCACAGAGAAGACTATCTCCATCACCGCATATATACAAATGGGAAACCTGGCCACGTTGGAAAGCATTTTCGTCAGCACTTTGGCCAGCGCAGGTCCATAGGCGTTGTGGAACGGCCCCGACTACCAAGACGTGAGCGTAAACCTCGGTGGTGGAAGGAGCGGGAGGTGCAAGCGAGAGCACCACCTGTGTCACGCACCAACGTCAGCAAGAGCGTGCGGGTCGGAAAATGTTTCGGGCGGTGCATAACCGTCGGAGAAGGGCGATTGCGCCGGAGCGGAAGGTGTGGGTTGACAGATGACATATTATTTTCCTGTCACAGTTGGTGTAGGTTATTTCTCCGAATACCGCCGAATCTGCTGCGAATTTCATGGACGGAAGGAGTGTGTCGTGCTCTACTGAAGTACTGAACGGCAGAGTTTGGGCTTCAACTGATGCACATCGGCTCGCTCGACGAGGGAGCCTCCTCGAAGGTGGCAGCGAAACATGATTTGCGCATTGACGCTCTGCGATGTTGTGCCTCTGATTCGATCCAACACGGGAGACCTGCGTGTCGGAGTCGAAACTCGGTGTAACACCGGGACTTCGGACACAGCCGGCCCTCAATGTCAATGTCATGGACGAGAAGGAAGGAATGAAATTCTCTCGTAGGGTAGCAAACGTGAAACAACATGTTTTGGAGAAGTCGCGGTTCAGTTTGGCACCGCAGAAATTGCATAAAACAAATAGCCTTGACTTTCAATGTCATCGGCAAGGAATGAATGAGAAAACTTCGCGCAGACCGTGTTTAGTTTCCGTGGAGCTCCAATTCTTCACCGACAAGGTACCAAGCGTTTTGGGGTATCAAACATCTTAAAAAACGTTCGCAAATTCGACCACCGAGTTGTGCTATCGAAAACGCAGAGTCATGTTTCAGGTGCATATGGGTTCTCTGGACGAGTGACCCTCCTCGAAGCTGAAAGTGAAAATGATTTTTTCGCACTGACGCCCTGCGATGCTATCCTTCTGATTCGATCTAACAAGTGACAAGATATGCGTGTCCGAGTCGGGACTCGGTTTCAGACCCGGACTTCTGAAACACACAGCCCTCGATATGAATGTCATTGACAAGGAGGAACTAGTGAAATTTCCTCGTAGGGTTCCGACCGTGAAGCAGCATGTTTTGAAGGAGTCGGGACACGGTTCTACACCGCAACTCGGGACACCGAACGCCTGCCTGTGAACGTCATTGGCAAGAACGAATGAGAAAGAGTGAACTTCTTGAACACCGAGCTACACTTCTTCATTGGGGTGTCACAGAACTTTACCGCCACGTTCACTCCCGATATGACCACCGTGTCGTGCTACTGAAAACGCAGTGTTGTTTCAGATGCTTATCGGTCCCCTCGATGCGTGACTCTCCTCGAAGCTGACAGTGACACATATGTTTGGCATCGACGTCCTGCGATATTGTGCCTACAATAGGACTCGACCAAACCAGGGAGACATACATGCATGTCGGAGTCGGGACTCGATTTCACACCGGAACGTGGGACACCAAAACTTTGGCTTTGGAACCGTTTACAACGAAACCCGCATCATCTATATCTCTACCCTGGAACCGGGTGTGAGTCTTCGTTCCAAGCGCCTATCAGCGTATTTGGTGATTTACGGCGGGAATGTAAACAAGTGACGACAATAGAATCGAGACCACACGGGCCTGTCCCGCGGAAGACTTCGCCCAGTGATGCCTCGCGTCGGAGAGTTCGCACGTTGATGCCGCGTCCACTCGGCGCAAAGGCTGTGCCGCTCAGTATGCGACACCTACAGCAAGTTCGCCACGCTTACCAGAGCACCTACGTCGGAACCGTGTATCGCTACCAAACCGCAGCCCAAGCTATATCACTGCGATCACCCAACCAGGCCATGACGAGTCTTTCGCGCAATAACCTGCGTAAACTACACATACGAGGATGCTCACTGTCTGACTACGGGCTATGACAAGTCGCATATAACAACAAGGGCAAGCCGACTCAGCATGATCTGCGGAAACACACGGGGGGAAAGGTGCATCATTGCCAGCACCCTGGCTGTGACAACTGCTTCACGGGACATCATACTTTTGTTGCGCATATGAAAACCCTTACTCGCGAAGAGCCGCGTCACTGTTGGCACCCGGGCTTGCGCGTGTCGTTTCCGATATCCGGCAATTTGGCAAAAAAAAACTCCCCAGCACATACTATCGAGGGACAGATGACGTAAAAAACAAGAGAAGCGCGTATACTTTATATTGAAGAGTTGGGACTGGCTGCGTAACGGACGTTGAAAGTTGCGATTTCACACATGGGATCGTGAGTTGGCTTGGAAAGCGTTACTCAAGAGAAAGAGAACAACGGAAAGCAACAACAACCTGCTACTGTGGTCGGACAAGAGAGTTCCACACAGCTCAAAGGTGATTGATTCTGAAGGAAGGCATTACAGATGTATCTATGTTTTTGCTGTTGACCCGGCAGAGAGTGTTGGGGAGGGTTTTCACTTTCCGAGTTGTTTCCTGTTATCAATTCATCTACTGTATCCCGAATTATAATTATATCACTGCTGTATTGGACTGTACGAGACTTGTCTCTTTGAGGGGAGGTTCTTTCTATGATTTGGTACTGTCAGAACATCTCAACTTGCCATTTGTTTCCATCATATAATATATCTTGCTTTTTCTACTGCAACAACCTCAATTATTGACGGGGGACACACCTCTCCTCCACTCATTGAGATCATCTCGATACGACCCCTCTCCGCTCCTGAATTTTTCTCCAGGTACAAGAAGCCCGGTGTGTTGCAAGTCAGTTTAGACTTACCTATCCATTCCCCGCAAACACCCGGGAAAACACGACGTACGTACGTGCGTGTGTTGGAGGTCCTACATGAAGGCATACACAGGAACGTCGCCTACAGCACGGGCCTGCCATTAAGAGAATAAGGCTCAGCTTTTAACAAAAAATAAGAAAAAAGGACTAAGAAACACAGCTCGATCTCGACCACAGCATAAAAGAAACGTCCCAATAAGAAACATGATCGTCCGATACCGCCAATATACAGGAGACAAGGGTTGCTGGGGGAGCGTGTCCAATAGTAAGAAACAAATGTCCCACTGCTGCTTCTTCCGTTTTTCTACCACCACCCCCGTACCTACCTGAATAATTAGTGTTTTTTTTTACGGGGGGAGAGTTTCTATTGTCGCGCCCCGGCTGCGCCTCCGCGCAAGCTACTCCGCGCCTGCGCGGGCTGCCCACTGCTGCATGAGTGTTTGGTGTGTTGTTGTATTCTTTAGCCAGAAATAAGAACATAAGAAATAATATAATCTGGAGGACGCGACAGTCCAAAGAAATAAGAAATGCCTTCTTAGAAAATGGACGACTTCGGCTGATCCTTCGACCCAAAATAAAGGATTGAGCCTCGACCCCATTTTGACGTTTCTTGTCTCCGGGCCCGTCCTGTACATATGGCACCTACCGTTGAAGAGAAGAATATGGTGGCGACTCTCATTCATGCCAGCTAGTGGATGTATGTAGAGCAGGAACAATTCTCTCAACCCGCGGGTACCGGGCGCAGCACCGTTGAACAACTGGAACTAGAGAACCTGAGGTTACAGGAGGCGCCACCACTAAAATACGAACATGGTAGCAGTTAAGAACTTGAGCCTCAAACAATCCAAAGTCGAAGAACTTGGTCATAAGAACAGGTGCTCAATTGCGACGTGCGTGGTGTTAACAACAAGAACCGGCCCTTACGGTGTACGAGTGCGCATATAGGTAAGAATGGAGCCCCAAAACGCGGCGGCTGCAAGGTAGGAACTCAGGAAGGTTGGGGGTGACCTAAACAACAGCAGACAGTTTCAGATTTTGGAGGCGGGGGTCGTGATAAGTTTCTTGTACGCGCGAAGGGGGAGGGCGTACTCTGTCTCATGTTTCGCATGCCTTAGCGGTTAGACTATTGACAACAGTTCCTCGAGAGGACACATCAATCAATGTTCAAAATATCAGGCCCGATCACAAATGGCCAATCGCTGTTTTCCTAGTTCTAAGTACAGTACTTTGCCCCAAGATGACTCAACAAAGTTTCCCCTGGCCTATTTATCCTATCAATACCGCTTCTGTAAGTGAAAAAGTTATACCTTGAGTGAATGAAACCTTCTCCACGTTGAGTGAAACTGCGCACGAAGATGTATATACACTTCCTGGAGAAAGAGTGAAATAGATGGCACTACGGGGGTGCTGGTAGGGAATTCAGGTTTTGAAGTAGTAAGGACCTCTTCGAGCTCACTATGAAAGCGAAATATCCCCAAAGGAACCTTGTACGTGAACACATTTGCACCCCAATCCTAATCTTTTCGCGTATTTCGGAAACTAGGCATGCGTATTGAATGAACCTTCCTGGACTTTATGTGAAATAGAACGACTGTGCGCTCACCGAAGTGAAACCTCGTTCGAGAGTTTCCGTTGAAAATCTCTCTCTGGGGCATGAACGTGACCACGACAGCTGGAAACACATCTCGGGTGTCTTTGCTGAACGTTTGCCCATCTCGGCCTCGGTAGCCGATGCAGCATACCGACACGGGATCGAATGGAGTCGCCCACAAACAATGTTACATCGCCGAAAGGCAGGTGTCATATGTTGTAGCGAAATGGTGGACCACAGGAATAGCGAGTGGGAAATTCGTTCGCACCAGTAACCGCCGTCGACTGATTGCATCGATTTCGTGGTTAACTTCAATATATTCCACACCTACGCAGTTTTGCCGAGCAGTGTCCGATCGCCGTCCGGGGCTTCTGGAGCTACCCCCTTGAGGTCTCGCCTTCTCTTTCCCTCGGCCGCAGCGGCATCGCAAGTGCAACAGTTTGGGGACAACAGCAGAGACCATTAGGATACTCGCTTCTCAGCTTCTCAGCTTGTCCATCTGCCTCAAGGCCATGAGGTGCTCACGATGTCGCAGGACGGCTGCCATCGCTCCCAGTCGTACACTATCCTTGTGGTTCTCGAGATAACTTTGAGCCTCGAGGTCGCCTATTGTTCTCGCCGAAGACCCACTCGCCGGATGGATGTCATCCGAAGGCAATGCATCTCCACTGGTAGGACGAGTCGTTTGCGGTATCCGACCTCCTTGAAGCTCGGTCAACAGTATATCCTCCAGTCTCCTCACTTCTTCCAGGAACATGGCCTTACATTATTCGCGCATTGTTGGGTGGAAAGGACGCGTCATTCATCACGACCAGTATTGATTGCTGTCGCAGTAGCACCAGCTGTTGTTACGCCGTTTGACCCCCGGTGGCCGGGAAAGAGACAAGTACTATTATTTATATCTCATATCACCTCTTCGTTGAGGGCTGGATCCTGATGCACGCGCTGAGCAAGTCCGGTGATGCGGTCCTCGAGTACCACTTGAGTTTTTCGAAGTGCTTCGAGCTTGTGGTCGGAAATAGTAGGGGGCGAGCATCGAGCGGACGAGAGAAAAAGTACAGTCGAGGGAACGGTGCAGTGAAACGTGGTGAGAGAACGCTACCGCATTACCTCAAAGGTTCGAGCTGCGAGTTTACCACCTGCGTGCTCAAGCAAATACATCTGGAAGACGTCGTACAGTAGACTAGTCTACATAGGTAGCTGGTTTTCATTATGAATCCCGGGATGTACCCAGATCACTCAAACAAGTGCAGCATTTGTGGCAAAATGATTGGGAGGACTCGTGAAGTCTCCGGCGCAGAAGGGAAGAATGTCACTGTTCCCTACCTCGGCCAGGAGCGACGAATCGCACTTTGATGACTGCGAAGCGTGGACCGTCCCAATACGAAGGCTGAGGGCCCGAATCTGCTCATCCTGAGACTGTGAAAGCGTGCGGCAGAACGGGGTGGTTTCAACATCTCACCACTATCGTCGTTGATCCAGTCACTCGTGAACCAAGTTACTCGCTGGATAAAGGTGGGGTGATGGTGCATTCTCGAGTACGTGAGTGTTGATGAAGTAAAGAATCAGCAAATGAGAGCAGGTAATTCTAGCATTTTCGCCAGTGTAGATTCTAATGGTGGTGTGTAGTGTCGAAACGCTTAGAATGAACGCCGTCGACATGATTTCACCCGTACTATTACTTATTCCAAGAGCCCTGCGGTACGAGTGACCCGATGTATCGGTCTTTACCCAGATATTTTCCGTGAATTATCAAAGGTCAACGTATATTCTGTTGTACGAAACAGGTCCACGAGGAAATTTTTTGTGGCACGCAATTCGCTGATTGGTCAACACGCCTGCGGCAAAATTTCAAAACACAGGCACGACCAAGATCCCTGGGAACTGCATTGTGTATAGTCACACATTTGTCCGGCTGTCGTGGTCTTCTTGAAGCGCCTTCGTTTGCTCTTCCTGTGCGGCGAGGCGGTCCTTCATCTCAACGATGTCTTCTAACAGCTGTTTCTCCCGCAAACTCCTGTCCCGGCGCCACTCCTGCAGGGGGACGAGGTCGACCAATATTCCGGAGTCTCGGTTTAGATAGCGACACCGTGATGTGGAGTGTGGCGCGAAAATCAAAGTATTGCTAAGCCCTGCTGGCGGGAAGGGGGGAGAGACGTCGCAATGTGCCGTGTTGCGCGTTGTCGGTGATGATGTTGGCTAAACCATCTCATCGGTTCAGTGCCCAAAGTTATCCTTCGGGTGTCATGCGCAATGCCGTGCATTGTGCTTGAATCTGATTTTAGCCCAACTTTATCTTCCTTGCCGCCGGCTCTCGGCGAACTGCACAGATCATTGCGTTGCTGTGAGAGAGTTCCAGTGTGTAGAGGGAACACATCGCGTGCTCAAGTCCCGACATCAGTCATATTCTTTGACGCGGAAGTGGCTTTACTCCGTACATCGGACTCGTTCCCGCGATTGACCACTTTTCTTTCGGACGAGGAATAACAGGATGGGCCAACCTGAGTTTCTCCTCTTTCCTGCGCCGTGCTTTCTTGAACTCTAGCCAAAACCGCGCTCATCCCCTCGGTTTGACCTCCCTGCTCCATGAGACGGCCCTCCAAGGTGGAAACATCTCGGCCCTGCGCCTACAGCAACCGGGCAACTTGACATGTAAGCTGCGTAGGGTATGGCAAAGAGTGACCAGGTGAAGTACTTGCGAAGCGGCAAACGCGCTACTGCTCGGTTCATCCAAGCACGACGGTGCAGTAGCTGTTCGCACTCTGTGCATCGTTGTAGGTACAGAGAAGCTGCGTGCCACAGCACGAACTATCAAAACTGTTCAAAGACAATGCCAACAACAACCTCAACACCACCGCACAACAGCCGGGGTTACAGCAGAGGCAACAACGACAACAACCAGGATCAACACCCAAAACGTCAACAGCGTGCTGAAAATTCACACCAGCAATGAATCAAGCCCCCTTGTCGCCATCGCTTCCACCGCTTCCAAGCGGTCGGAGACTTGCCCAGAGCTCTCTTGTGCGGAGGCCGACGCTCTTTCGAGCTCCTGAAGGCGAGCGTCTCGAATAGTCCCATTTGCTTGGATCGAGGCGTCAAGGTGCTGTTTGTCGCGCAGAGTACAAGGGAGAGGTAGGTGCGAAACAGGCAGCAGTTATCAACGGGAGACCAGGGGCAAAACCTCGGAAGTTTCAACCCCCCACATGGACTGGGGACACCCAGAGGCGCGATAAAAAGTAGGAGGTATCATTAACGCCAAAACATGTTGTATGCATTCTCCTAAACAGAAAATTAACGCCTACACCATATGAAAAGGAAAGCGACAGGGGACGAGTGTCTTCATTTTCTTGTCCCGGGTACAAAGAATCAGTTGCCTGACCCCGAACCGATAACCGTTGTCCGGCACATGTATTGGACAGTTCGCGGAGTGTAGCCCGGGTCGCTATCCACCACCGCAGGAGTGACCGTTGATCCCCCAGCCAGTTACGGTGTGAAACAATATTTATTGGCACATCACACACCACGAACCGCAGCGCACCTGAAACGCGGCTACAAGAGTGGCGAGAAGCCGTGAATGTGACACGGCCTTCCTCCCGGTGGCTACGTCCCTCCAGGCCAATGATGACGATCTCTTCTCCCGTTCCGCCTAGGATTGCACGACCAAACATCGCACAGAAAAATAGACGGAAGCGATAAATCACCGATGTACGTCAAATATTCATGTCGTCACACTGCATCAAGTCGTCGTAGCAGCACCGGACCGTGCTTGTCTCGCCGGGGGCACGTTTGGCACCCGCCACTACGGCGTCTGTCGGTGGAAGAATACGCAATGACAAATGATCTGCAGTAGTAGTACCTGCTGGGCAATAATCCCCAGCTGCCGAACCTCTAGGTCGAGGCCGTAAGACAACGAGGCTTCGTTCGTCCAGCCGAAGGTCACCACGTCCACCTTTTTGAGATTTGCACCGTGGACGAAGGGTGATATAATGCAATATGATGTTAGTGCATGCAAATAGGTACCGCGTTCTTGCGATAGGCACGTGACCCCCAAGCGAATAACTCTGCATAGATCGCCAGATACTGAGACACAGGGGAGCTTCCCGACAACGACATATGCCATATGGATGAAGCAACTCGTACTAACGGCGTCCACGCAGATATAGAAGCGCAGTGTTCCGAATGCATGGTGGGCGGTATCGTGGGCATTACCCATGTTGCGGCTCAAGCAAGACGATTGATCATGTGAAGAGCGAAATAGATATGGGGGAAAAGGAAATGAAATACTTCGCTCACCCCTCGAACGGCCTCCATTGCTTGACTGTTGCCCTGGGCCCCGAGGCTCTCGACGTCTCTGACCATGCCCTCGTCTGACAACACGAGCACCTGATCCACACCATGCACACGGTCTCTCTTGCAACTTGGGCAGCATTCGGTTGGTACTAAAGCGCAGCGCTTGCAAAGTCTGCGGCATGTGCGTTAGGCAACGGGGAGGCAAGCCGTAGAATTCCTACACAGCTTTTCTCTTTGTGGTCGGGATCTCCACCTTGCCATAAACAAAGGGAGGGGATTTCCTGGTCTGTTCTACACGCTCATGATACCGGACAAATGAAACTAGTTTCAACATGTTATTGCACAATAATGCATCGCAGAAATCTCCGGAACGAAACGAATCAGTACTCACCATTTCGCCATTGCTCACGCCATTTCAGAAAATCCATCGAAGTCGGGCAGGCGTCCTATTCGGAAACCTGGGGGTATAGACTGGTTGTTGCTCGATTTTAATATTCCGGGTCCGCTATTAGTCCAAATCGTGCCCTGCACACCAGAATCATCATGCACATTCCTCCTCCCTTTCCGCTGTTCCACTCGAACTCCCGGCGAGCCTGGAGCCGACAGCAGAACGTTCCGGCCTGTCCAACATACCCTCACCTGCTCGGCCATCAGGGCGCCACCGACGGTCACCCTAGCTCCCGTCGAGCAGGCCCCGAAGCCCGCCCGCCCGTTCACGCTAAAGGCAACCGCCGGCCTCGCCGCCACTCCGCCGTGATCTCCTCCCGGAGCTCCTGCTCCAGCCGCTGGGGGAGACGAGGAAGACGATGACTGCTGTGCCGTTCCGAGTGCGGGCCGCCAGCCTGAGGGACCTCCATCTTTCGGTGGTGGTTTCGGATGGACGATGTTGATGATTGGAGATTTCGGAGACTGCATACAACAGAACCCAATGAGACTTGGGAGTTGGTTTGAAGTGTTACTCATTTCTCGTATGCTTCGGGCGCTACTGACTTAACAGGGTTGGCTGTGTTGAAGTCGGGCTCAAAAGTGCCCGAGACGCCATGAACTCCGAGTGCTCGAGTTTCGTTCGCGTTATTTAGGATATCCAGATACCTGCGACTGTAACTTTGGCAATACCGCTGCGCTCGCTATTGCTACGGCGGACTGATTCATCCCGACATCCCGCTCCCCCCGCCTGCTGACCACCGGAACATGTCAAACAACGTTTCTTCGGTGTGCTGACCGCATTGGTCATCACCGGCTACCGCACTTATCATTGCTTTCTGTCCATGAACGACGGAACTCACAGCTGGGTGAAACGAATCGGGGAGGGGAGGTGTGAGCTTATGAAGGGACTATTCTATCTGCTAATAGTCGGACAAGACGATGGTGCATGGAAACGAATCATCATGCGCGCGCCCATATTTCACCTGCAACGACGTGAGTCAGGGTCATGCCTCCCGCCCACGAGGAGTGGTCCGCCTGGGGGTCCGCCCACTGAGGTCGGGACGCTGACCCTGCCTTCTTGTCTCGCCCGGCAGCCAGCTGAGACACCACCCAATGGTTGTGCGTGCTTCCCTCTTGGGCCTCTCCTGGTGGATAAGAAGCGGTTGCGTAAGCCCGCCAGAAGGTTTTTCCTTGGATGTGGTTGGTTCCTTGAGCAACCACGAACGACCAAGCCGAACATATGAAAAGCACTATCAGGCTGCTACATGTGCCTCACGCTTCCCCTTCGTTGCCGAGATTTCGGGAAAAGCAGAAAATGTTTCCCGTTCTAAGATCCATTTACTAGCCCCCGCTCCCCCGCCCCTCCGTACCTCTCCGCAAACAGCGAGAAACCTGTACGATTACCTGACTGTCTCGAACTGAGGACTATCGTGTTGTCCGGGGCCGGAGACAGCTCGGGCACCGACGGCCTACTACTACTACCGCCGACGCTGAGCATCTGCATCACTCCCGCAGAGCCTGCGGGCGACTCCACCAAGACAGAGGCCACCGGCGGCTTGGTCGGCTCGCCGCCCCCTAGTCCCGACGACGCAGCCACTGTCGGCAGCGGAACGGCGGCGAACACGTGCAGCGCGGCCGAGAGCTGTGTCGGCGCGCCCGTGGCGTCCGCATCGGGCACCGCACCGACGCCCCACCTGCCACGGGCGTCGCCGACGACGCGGCCGGGACTTGAGGCAAGCTCAAGCACGAGCGTATCGCCCCCTGCGTTCGAGGGGAGCGGTGATCAAAGGAAGAAGGATTGCGTGCCGAGCAGCCGCGTGCCAGGGTTGGCTTCTGTCATTGAGCTCGGCGTGGCCGCATCCTGTGTGAAACGGTGCCATGGCAAAAAAGTCCGAACACCGATAGGGGCGATTGTACCAACGCAAACCCCAAACGGCAACAACAACAGCAGACACAACGTCACCAATCACACCACCACAACAACAGCGCACGACGAAAACAACAACAATAACCACAACAACAGCACGAGTACCGGCCGCACCACACAGCGCCTCTGACACGCTGTTCATAGTGTGACTCGTTAGAACCCGAAAACAATAATTCACGTTGTGTTGCGTGTGCTGGACACCTCCACCCTCCCCCTACCGGCACCTTCTCTCCCACGCTTCTAGGCCCCATGGGCGCCCGCAGCTGCTATGCTCACCGGGTCCCTCCAGATGGTGCCGAACCTCCAGGCCCCCGCTGTAGGGCAGCCCCTCGCACCCGAACCGCACCGCCGACCGGCTTCCTCACAAACGGTGCGTCAGGCAGGCAACATTAAAGGCGTCACAAAGCGATGAGTACCATTCATCACGTGACGAGGTGCATGTGTGCCTGCGGTGCGCCTGCCTAAGTCGAACGACAAGGCCCCGTTTGAGTTGTGCCGAACTTGTGCATACGTATGCACACACGTGGTGATCGAAACTCGGCTGATGTCAAACTTTGCCCGCATCCCCGTCCCTGTTCTACGGGCGGCGACACATGGGCGAAGCCAAGTGTGCTGATACCGAGGGTACGCTACACAACCGTGAGTGACATGCATTTAGCCGTGATCTGAACAGGTACGTTCACATACCCCCACCTTCGCGCCTACAGGACCCCGATTTTCCTTACCTTCCTCGAGGTGAAAGCACAGACACGCCTGCGCCCCCGCCCGAGGACTCCACAGCAACGAGAGCATCGAGCGGGGGAGCCCTGCGCTGCCGCTGGTGACTGGCAGGGTGGTCGGTGGCGTTTGTCACATAGAGCAGGGTGGGTACAGCCCCTGCGACAGGAGGACGAGGAGGAGGAGGAGGGGCGAACACACGTCGGTAAGGTGCTGAGTCATAACTTTCGCGGCATGGCCCCAAATGAACCGCATTTATTTTCGCGGTCGTATATCAATTCCACTCAATCTAGGCGCACCGCTCCTCCGGATTGGCGCGGGCACGCACAAGGCTCTCTTGGGTTTCCGCCATGCCATGAGCAGCTCTCGATCGTGCCACACGCAAAAACTCGCATGTGCGTGTGTGGTTTCCCCCCCTGAAGACGCACGACGACTGTGTATCATGATAAACCAAGATGAGAATGTCGCACACACCTGCTGCAGCGCTCGCCAAGTGTCGCGACGAAAAACCACGGCCGATCCCCACCCCGCTCCCTGCCCCGGGCGCGAGGAGTACGTGCCCCCCCTCCTCCTGCCCAAGTCCTAGACCATTGTGCCCCTTCCCTCCGAGTCCCGCCCCGTCAAGCGATGGGCTCTCCTTGTGGTCAGCTGAAGGGGTTCCAGTGCCGCCGCCGCCGCCGTCGCCGCCGTCGCCGTTGCGGGGGGATGAGCCCGAGAGAAGGATACCGCGCGGCGAGTACAAGGAGGTGTCATTCGGGGACGAGATCTGGATTCTTCCCTCCGCTCGAAGGCGCAGGTCCTGCGAAGGTCGCAAGGCGTTGGGCCAAGGTGGGCAGCAGAAAGACGGGGGGCAGGGGCGTGCGCTGTGTGGGGAGCGTCGTGACGGTTTGGCACGCTTTTTTGTGATCAGACAGACCCCACTCGAAGGAAAAGGTGTGCAGCCGGTGGTTTGCCAAGCGTACAGCCCTTGCTTTTGCTGCCTTTGACGGGTCGGGGGCGTCGACGAGAAAACCCCGTTGTTGGATTCGTAGGCACGCATGTGTGTAATGTCCGCAATTCAATTGTCGGCAGAGGACAAGTGCGCCCGTGAAGCCGCACCAAACGTTCAAGGAAAACCGCCAAGGAACAAAACAGACACGCTGGCGCCTGGTGTATGGCAAAACACACGTCGAGGCGTACGACCAAGAGAATTATCAACCTCGACAGTCACGTATGCAGCGCACCTCTGTGGACGATATGTTGGCCTCTCCAATCGCCTCCACCATCAGCCCTTTTCGAGACGGACCTTCCCCGCCACCGAGGCCGCCGGTACACCCACTCCCGCCTCCTCCTCGAGCGACAGTCTCCGCCGCCGTTGATGCTGCCGTTGCCGATGCCATTCGGGACGAGGATAGTGCCGGCAGGGAACTATCTCCACCCCCTCCGGCACAAAGGTGTATCCAGCTCTCTTCGACGGAGATGTGACTACCGGCACGGTCTTGGGCGCCTTTTTTGGAGCTGCTCGAAAAGCATACGGCGGTATCGGCGGATATGGTAATCATTTACGGATAATATGGTAACCTCTTCTTTGAGCACTCTCGAGAGAGCGTAGCCCTTGCTTTTGGGTCACCTTGAAGCTTGTCACTGTTGACATGAGTAGTGATTATTTTCGGAGTTAAACCTGTGACGGCGGTTGCCGACTCGAATTTCCCGCTGTTGGCATGAAAACGAAAAGTTGGGTTTTCACAACCCCCTTGTTGCCACGGCGTCCAGCGGAAATACGTCTAGTTGGCACACACGCACTACGGCCACATACGTCTAATGATGGGGGCATGGCAGAGTGTATGCTAGTCTCCGTTTTGATGCTTTCGCTCACCTGCTCTCCGACGTAGACCCTAAACCGGCTTGCAGCAGCACCCTTTCGTCTGCCCTTCCCGTCAGGGCCAACCCGTCCGACCACAGCCCGCCGCCGCCGCCGCCGGCATTGCTGAAAGGATCTTCGATTATTGTACCAGAGCCCGCCGCCCCGTGTCTCCTTGCTGACCCCTCTTCGCCCGCGCCGGCGCCTCCGCCTCCCACGTGCGAGATTGCCAGTTGAGGAGCCACGAAGACCAACCGGGATCCCGCATTAAGGAGGATCGTGCTGCTGCTGTTGCTACTGCCGTTGCTGTTGCTCTTGTTATTGTCGTCCGATGACGCTGCCGACGCACCCGCGAGAACCTTGACCGACAAGAAACGGGCAATGATGGAAGCATGTAGCGGATAGAGAGGGAGGGAGACGGACATGTTGCTGCTTCGGGAGTGCTGCTTCATTGGGTTCAAGCGCAGTCATACTGAGATGCCACTTTGGCTTCTTCGCCCTCACGCCGATGACAACGAGATGTCCACAAGCACGAGAATTTAACGATTCCATTGGGAGAAACGGAGCGTCTGCATGGTCTGAAGAGGGCGTATTGGGTGTATTTTCTCAAGGTCGCGAAGTCGAACGTAGAAGGTTGTAAAAAACGAACATGGTGACAAAGTGCCTCGATCTTTCACACTATGAGAAACAGAGGGTCCAAAGTTCCAAGATAGCGCGCTCCCGACGTACGACAAGGTGGCAACGGAGAGCACGACGAATAGTGGCGGAGGGAACGTTGGCCGGGGATCGGATGAATGCTCTTATACGGCAAGGTGTCACGCATATGCCGAGACGCCTTCGGCCACACTAGCACGTGCCAGGGGAGCAAAGCGGTGTCGTCTTGCAGAGGTACAGGGTATATATACTGTTGTGGTGACGAGGTTCGAGGGGTTAGGAATAGGTGTCGAGCAGGACAGGCACGGAGAACGGGCCGTTTCCACCGGCGTGAAGTAAGACAACCTTATGCGACCCTTCTTCGCCCACAAATCATTAGACTTTTCATTTCACGAACCAATATATACCTGCTCTTGCGCAGGAGAGACATAGCAGTGAAGGAAAAGAGGCTCCAAAAGCCACCCCAGACTCACCCGAACCCCCCAATCGCCCAACTCGACAATCGCTGACGATTCCACCTCCTCTCCTTCCGCCGCCGACTGCACCCCCCCATCGCTTTCGGGGCTGACCGCAGTGCGACGCTTGGCTGAGCCGCCGACTCGCAGCGTGACGCGTTCCGACGAGTCAAGGCTCGTCGACGTTCCCGCCGCAGAGACTCCTTCCGGGAACACCTGCCTTGTCGTCAATTTCAGGTCTTAGCCTGCGCTGCTGCTGTGAATACGCCACATCAATACAACCTATTGCAACAGGTGTTCTAGTTGAAATTTCACCACCGTTCAGGTAAGCTGCTCATAGAGGGCACCGTAGCTCTGCTTTGCCACGTACAACGATCGTCAGAGCGGTGAAGTGGGGATCCGTCTATTTCTTACATGGGGACGGATAGAAAGAAAAACGTACGGCCGACACTGTAGCTGTTTCACCTCGAGACGACCGCCGGCGGCGGCTGTACCGTTGCTCGCCCCCTCTTCTGCCCAAGCCCGCGCCTCAGCTCCGTCAGCGGCAACGACGGACACTCCGGCCGACGCTCTTATCCGCACGTCTCCGGCTTCGGCGACGAGCAACCCACCACGACCAAGACCCTCCCCGTCGTCGCGGCCACCCGCCGCCAGACCGTCTCCGCCGCTACGGCGACCGGACAGCTGGACGAACGCCCCGGGGGTTTCCATTCCGATGGACCCCGACGCGGTCACCGCGACACCCCCGCTGTCGTCCAGGCTCAGCTCCGCCGCTGCCGTCGGGCCGGGTCCGCGGGCGCCGGGGTCTTGGCGGCCGGTCGTTTGCGGCGGCTGTTGGGGGGGGCCGGGGCCACGTCCATCGCCATTGCTGGAGGCCGCCGCTCCCCCCACCCCCGCGGCAGCCGCCGTGAGTGGCGAAGAAGAGCGGAGGAAGATGGCAGGGGTGTGCACAGAGACCTCGGCGGCTGAAACGCGGAGAAGAGACGAGTTGCTGGCTCGTAGCCGCACCTGCTGGAACGGATTGTTGAGCGGAGAAGAAAAGGACGGCGGCGTGTATTTGGGGCGAGCAAGTGGGACAAAACAGTTTTACAGGCCAGAGCTGCGATGGTGGGATGTTAAAGGTTTTCCGTGGGAGCGTTGTCGACGAAAGAGCTCAATAGAAATGAAGGCGGCCTCCCATGCCGGCCATTGAGGCACCCTCGGTAAGTCCAAATGTGGAATAACGTAAGCCGTGCATCGTTGCAAGAGCCGACGTCGACAAGGACTACACGTCTTTAGTAGGGAGGCTCCTCACCTCGTCATCAGCCTCGAGCAATGCGCCTCCGCCCTCTCCGCCCTGCGGGCCTCCGATCGTAGCTGCTTCGACCGATAGGTTGAGGTATCCCCCTCCCGAAGCGCGTTCGCTGTCCTCTTCTTCCTTCGCTTCTTCGCCCCCGGCTTTCGTCGGTCATGTCCGACCACGACACCAAGTCAACGTGAACCAGGAAAGAAATAAGTGAAGATCGAACGATTGTTTTTGGGGGGTTATCTTAGGGGCTCCTAGAGTCCAAACCCAGTGAAGAATCGAAGCCGCCGCCGAGTGGAATGTGGTCATGAGGGGATGTACACCGGAGTTTCTCCTTCTGTGGCGACCAAGCTACGCCTGATTCGCCGCTGGTGACTGGCCTTATTGATCCGGGGCGGTTTGGTCCGAGCAGCCCCTTGTCAATTGCGAGTGTGTCAGAACGACGGGTGGCTGACATGACAGGCAATGCGCAAACACAGGGCAACGCTTTACTTGATCACCTGCCTTGCCAAGCCAAGTACCTGCCTAAGGGCGTGGTTCAAGGAATGAGGGCGTGGTGGCGCACACTAACCAAAAACGCTTGTTTTACACGTGAGTTTTCCACCCACCGCCCGCTGACGAACAGACTTGAGGCCCGTTGTAGTTCTCCGCAACATGATTGAAAGCTAAGCGTATGTAGGTATCGTGGCCACACGTTCTTCGGAACGTGCGCTTCAAAATGCGTCCTCGCGCGCCAACCTCTGCACCGTACCTATACCACTAGCTTTTGGCGACGACCCACCTGCCGCTTCTGCTGCTGCTGTTTCTGCTGTGAAGGAAACTGTCGGGGCCACGCCGACAATAGCGCCACCACCCCGGACGACGACTGATCCGTCGGGGCCGTTGGCGTCGACACGGACATCCCCGGCGGACGACGTAACTCTCACTCCGTTCCTTCCGGCTGCCAGCAGGGTGTCGGTAGCCTTAGTTGGCGAGAGAGGGACAGGAAATGGAGGAGAGATGGTCAAAATGAAGACCTTGCCGGTTACGGCGGTTGTTGGATATCTAGGCGATGTGCCACTGGGGTCAAAGAGACTCGATGATCCCTAACGGCAGAAACTATATTTCCGTGCGTGGCAAATAACAGGGAAAGCTCAGGTCTGGTCGCGGGAATGAGCCAAACGAAGTAAAAAGGCCTCGCAAGATTCAACAAAGGCAGCAGCTTCTAACCCGTGTAATAGCAGCCAATTCATCTGGTACCCCAACTGGTAGGTTCGCGATCTTGTGCCAAGTAGAGATGTCTGCCTACATGCTGAAACTCTCGTCCCTCCTACGATCCCCACACCTCGACGTTCACCACCCCAGCGCTCGTGTTCAACGAGCCAGCGTCCCCTTTCAGCAGCGCCGCCTTCGTCTCTAAACCCGTTCCCGATGAATACCCGTGTTGATGCGGTCCCTCGCCCACCCCGCGCCCCTGCTCGTGCCCGATACCATCGTTTTTCCCTCCGTCCTTCTGCTCCTCGCCGGTAGCCGCGATCGCTACTTCGAAAGATCTGGCCGAGCTTAGCCGTACCGCTTCCGAGAACCCAGTAGCCTCCAGGGTGCCGTCGTCGACCCTGAGCGACGCTACAGCGCCTCGGGGGTGGCAGTCAGAAGAAGGACACTCTGGCAGCGACGGTGAGGCTGGTGACCACTCTAGCGACCCGGAGCGAAGACGTATCAAGCCTTGCTCGCCTCTCGCCGCTACGTGCACGTCTCCGCCCAACACCTCTCCGCCGGGTCGGGCGACCCCCGACTGCAGGTGGAGGTCTGGTGCGGGAGAAGTGGGTTGACATGTTGAGTGCGATGGAGCAAAGCATATTTGTAGGAACGTCCAGCTTGGAATGCTACAGGCCATGTTTTTTTTGGTCAGCTGTATCCGTGCCATGTGTATGGATTGTAGTATGCATCCACCCAAAACCAATCGTTTTCTGGTGCGTGGCTCGTAACTCCACCCAGCGACGGTGTGCCCGGGGCGGAAACCATGGAAATGCAGATCCGCCTTTGACCACTTGGTGTAGAGTTGAGGGATACAGGCAGGTATTGAGGTAGGCAATCACTGGAGTTACGTCACGCGGAGAGTAATTAAAAAATCGAAGAAATAAACATCGCTGTTGTGTTGTTCGCCCGTCGGCCAATTTGAAAGGTTGTCTTGGACTGTTGCGACGTACGCGGGCTAGTGAAAGAGGGGAATTGAACGGTCACCTAAAAGACCGACTGGAAGGCATGTTGGAAGACCCGAGACAACGCGTTCCAATGAAAAATCTCACAAGCGGAAGTGGGTATTCTGTTAGTGTTGGTGGAGGGGCTGCTGATTGCGAAGCCAATCTGGTCCTGGTGTTGGTCTTGCCGACTCACCGCCGGCGGGGACTATCTCCAGGCCCCCCTCTCTTGTGCGGATGGCATGCATGACCTTGTCGCTTGTGGTGTTCTTTCCCTCTGGCCGGGTGCCCAGCGGGGCTTCTGGTGGTACGCTTCGTCTTTCGCCCCCGCCGACACCTCCGAGCAGAATCTCCCGGGGCGTGAACTGGGCGAGGGGATTGAAACGCCCTCGCCCCCAGGACGCGAGCTGCAGGAAAGGCTCGAAACATCCATCTCGCCCGACGTGACTGCTGTCCTTGTCGACGCGGTATTCGTCGACGCTTGCGATGGGGTCGGAGAAGTTGCCTTTCCGGTGCGGAGGCCAACATGACGAACCCCCGGTGACGTTGGCGATAGGCGCCTGTGTCATCAGCAAATTTCCTCCACCCTGCTAAATTCGCAAATGAGATTGCTTTCAGGGCCGGGTCGGATTGGATTTACCATACATTCTTTATTTACCAGATTGCCTCACCCTCTACAAAGTACCCCGGGTTGATGCTGTCTTATGGTTGAGTGTCGGGCTGGTTTCCAAACTGTGCTATCGGTTCAGAGAGTGGGGCTCATGTATTCCTTGAACACCACCTACAGCGAGCCATATACACGCCATGGAGGACACCCAGCAGTTTCCGTACATCGCTCCCCATGACTGTTCATTAGGAATGCCTCACATTGATTGGAGAGTCAAGGCGCCGACGTGGTCCTTTATGCCGACCTTCAATTCCACGTTGTGAGTTCGTAAACCCTAGTCTCTATTTGCTCGAATTGTTGTGTCCAACTACCAGAACGTTGGCAACACAACGACGCGTGTACACTCCCCGCCAAATGCACTTCCAACAAATGGTACCAAGGTGTCATCTTTGCACAGGATGATACGAAGCGGCTCACCATTTCACCACCAACGGCGTCCCACATCCACGGCGGCAAAACGAAGCCTTCCGCTTCCTCGTCAGACTCCCAGGCGTACGGCTCTTGCAACAGGAAGTCGGCTCCTTCGCTTCCGAAACCGCCAACGCTTGGCTTCCCTAGTGAGAGAACGGTGCAGACGTGCCCGTTCAGCAAAATCAAGGGCTCCACCGCTCCAGGCGAGGTAGCCGCCGACCCTCCGTCGGTACCGTTTTTTTTCTCGCCGCTTCCAGGCCGGGTCCCAACCTCACGTCCAGCGAGTAATTCTAGTACATAGTCGGGCAGATGGCTCGTTTCAGACTCACCCCACCTTTAGGAATGGTTCACCCATGACAAGGGAAAAATGAAAGAAGAGTTGAGGCTTTCAGTCAGACATAAAATAGGTTCTTTGAAATGTCCTTGGTCGTAGACCACGCTCGGAGAGGAACCAAACGCTTTCTCGGTGGGATAAAGACGCCTTTGGAGAAAGAAACAACCCGAATTGTTGCTCAGTGTACAGCGAGAAGTTGCGCTGGATTCGTGGGCAACTCTTTTTGTTGACAGTATCAAATCGTGCTGACACCTTTTAGTCTATTATCTTCAAGGCATGGAATTATTTCTCCAACGCATTTGCTACCCGACAACAATGCAAACTTATCGAAAAAAGAAATGTTTCACCACTCTCGAAAAGTTTCAGTTCGAAAACAACTATATTATTATAAAACCCATTGCGAATGAAGATCCTTCCTGTGGTTCCTATCATGACCGTGTAGTTCCCTAGCTGGCCTATTCAGCACCCTTGTCGTCATACGGAAATGTTGGTGTGCTGTAGAGTGTAGGACCTACCGAGACACGATTTTCAGGTTTCCACCCACACTTTCGTCAGCAACCATCCCCACACGCCGAGAGAAGCCCGGGGAGATGATAACCGAACTTTAGTGAAGCTACAAGAGTGAACTCTTGGAATCATCCCATGTGGGAGTAAAGATGGTATTCGTAGAATTTTGGCACGTACCTCCTAGAAGAAGATGATGGCTTGACAACAGTTGATGCGTGTTGCACAACGAACGTGCCCTGTAGATTACGCAGAAAGAAGGCGGGGCGGGGTTGAACATCAAGAGGAGCGCTCAGACTTGAGCATGAAAATCGACAGGCAACGCGGAAACGTCACAGCACCTAGATCTTTGGACGCTCTATTTCCGTAACGCGTACAGGAACGGAAATGCGATTGTGTTCGTCTTCACCGCATACCACTTATACTGAGGTTTGTTGCTGATTTGGTCGAAAGACAGCAACATCGAATTGTATGACAGGGTTTTCATCACGAACACCGAGCACGACGGTATACCCAAGTCACAGCATACAATGAAAGCATCGGCATCTTTTTCTCACAATATGGACTAAGTTGACCCGTTGCAGTCCACCATCGCTCCCTCGGCCGCAAGTCTGTGTGTCTTCGCTCCTGGGAAATCTGTGGTCCTCTGCTCCCGGCGCCTGGAGCAACGGGAATCCTCGCTGGTCCAGCACGGTCGTGAGCGCCGCAGCCCCGAGGAGGTCCAAGTTCGCCGATGCAGCGAGAAAAATGAGCTGTAGCAGTAGTATCGGCAGCCGCAGCATTATGTATCGTGGCCAATGCGCGTGCCGCTGTTGACATGGGCTCATCGCCGAGCTGTTCTTGTTCGGAAGATATGCGCGATCTGCAGGCATCGCCGCCGTTCGGCTCGAACAGAACCGTCGAAAATATAGAGGAACAGATGCTCGAGACTGGGACGCTGACAAGCCGTCACCAATAGATCGCAGTAAAGGTGAGGAAACCGAAGGATGCGTATACGCTTGAAGGCGGGCGCAGACACTGTAGGCCTGGGTGTGAAGCTCGCGAGGCCCGAAATCCAGCGGGTACGGAATCTTTGCAGGAAAACAGACACCGAAAGGCTTGCCTCGTGCCGCTGGCGCACTGAATATGAGAGCAGCTCAAAGCCCGCGTTTTGCTTGGTATCCTTGTTGCCTCCCTCATGTGCTGCCGCTGCAGCTATGGGACCGGCACCAAGCGCTGAATAGGTATCGCCCAGAGGATCAAGACAGACGAACATGTGCGGCGGAACTGTATCTCTCCCCTTTCCCTCTGCCGAAGCGTGTACCGAACCTTATTTTGGAACTATATATCGGGTCTGTGTACTGCTGTGTACAAACATAGACCTGTCACCTGAGATGCCTGCATATGCCGCTGTGGTGAGACATTTGCTCCGCGCTCTCTTTGTCCGCCGGCCCTACGTTGGACGGCCGCGCCGCTTCTGAAGGGTGCCACTCGGCGACTGGTGTTCCTTCAAGGTCTATCCCGAGGTGGCGGAATACGTAAATTGTTCGACACCCTCTCCCTCGTCACCCCGACCAAACGAGAACCACCACCGCTGCTGCTGTACGGCGGATCTCCCGCACCAGAAGTACACCCCGGACAGCAGTAGTCGAGACGCCTTTCTAGTTCGTTACGGCGGCTCTGGGCTCAACTACTGCAGGGAAGGCATTGGGGTTATCAACAGCTGGAGGTGGTCGTATTGGGTCTTTGGCTCGGAGAGATTCGCAGAGCGCTCTGCCCATCACACAACGAGCGTCTCTAAACTCTTGCGGGTCAACAGGCGTTTGAAATATGCGGATGATGAGGAAGGCGGTCATCGCGCTAGGGGTGGTCCTGCTCATGTCATGCTTGGGGATCTTTAGGGTATGGCCGGGGCTTCGACGCCACCATGTAGACTCGACAGGTGAGTTTAGAGCTACGCTGGTGCACGGCAGGCGTCACTGCCTCTCTTATACCTACCATTGTCACATGTGTGCAATGTGCTACGGAATATACCACCCAGCAAGGGTAGCAACCGGCTTCTCGTGTGTTCACCTCTCTTTGTGGAGACGTCCCAGAGGAGAGGTGGGCAAGGGGGAGGAAACAGCACTGTTGCGAAACTTTGTTTTGTTTTTTTTCGTTTCTGCACCCCCGACTACCTCTCTAACCATTTCCCTCGTCGTCGTCAGGCTTAGCCCCACGTTCTGTTAGCCCCACGTTCTGTATGGCGTCTTGGCTGCTACACCGATTTCGGCGGTACATACGTCGCTGTGTTTTGGGTTTTGGTTTGGAGATGCGATACAGCAGTACTCTTTTTGTGTCTCCGTATATGCATAGCCTTGATGGCCATGCCGCGGCGCACCAGCGCGGGAAGCCGACCAGCTTGTGTGCCCTTCCTGTCCAAACCTATTCCTACACACCCCACGGCCTCGGGGAAGTCTCGTTGTTGTCTGATGCGCAGGGAGGTCGGTCTTGCTCCTTCACCCCGGCGTCTCCTTCTTCTGCCAGATACAAGCCCTATCGCATGTGTTCTAACGCCAAACAGCAGCAATGTCGATGACGGGGAGTAGACATGATGTCAACCTTTTTTTGCTTCCGCCGGCCGCGTTCTGTTATTGCGACGTGATACGTCCGATGTCCGATGACCGTTGCCGTGTGGTGTCCGGCACCACCCACAGGTCCCGTGCCCACACCGGCCCCGACTATTCCCCCATTCTCGTTCGAATACCCGGCGGTGGTAGAGAAGAAGACGGTCAGCTCCCAGTTACGGGTCATGTTCCTCGTGGGATTGGAAGGTATTTTTTTTCTTTGCTGCATTTTTTTTCTTGTGGTACAGCACAGAATATAGGCTAATCAACCGGCAATGTATATGCGTAGACTTGGAATTGAGTTCCGCTTGTTGGACACTCGTTTTTTTCTTTTGCGCTTCGATGGCGCCCCTCTCTTTGTACCAGAACTTGATGTTTTGCATCTTTGTACGGAGTAACAGCAACAACGACAACAAATATCATGTGCTTGCCTTCCTTTCTCTCTCTGCAACAACGAAAACAACAACATACTTCTACGCAACAACGGCAACACAGGCACGGGCCACCACTACTTCTTGAACGTCTTCGACGACGCGTGCACGACGGCCGCGGTGCCGTGCGCCAATGCGTGCCCAATCGCAAAGGCCCTCTACCCCAGCCTGGCCACGCCCAGCACCAAGCAGGACTACGAGAGAGCGCGGCGCGAGCTCCGGAGAGAACTGGTAACGTCTGAATCTGTGCGAGGCTTTATCCTTCCCCTTCTTCTTTCCGTCGGCATGAACCAATCGTCTTTTCTCCCAAGACGCCGCCCCCTCTTATCTTGCTCGTGCAGCACGCGAGTTCGGCTCTGTAGAAACAGCCTCTTGTACTGTTTGTGCGGGGTTGATATGCGGGGGCGTTTTCCATGAAAATAGATTTGGCCTATTTGGAACGTCCCACGGACATTTAGGCGGCCGTGCCCTTTAATAAAACGCGGTTAGCTCCTTCAACCCTTCCGTGTTCGGGTGCTCCTCATTGGTTGTCTACTTCATATTTGTCGTCCATGAACTGGTCGATGGGCGCACCTCTATCTGGGTTGAGATAGGGTCCGTGACGAACGCACGACGCAAATGAACCGTGTCGAGCGATCAGCAATCCTCGTCGATGCACACAAGCACACTCTTGTTAAATATTTGCCAAAATGAACCTCTTTTGTGCCGAAGCACGTTCGTTTCCCCCATCCCGTTTCGTCCACCAAACATCACCACGCGTGGGGGACCAGATTGCAAGCGTGCGCGCGCACCGTTATTGATCATCACCACCTCCGCAATTTCGCAGGAGAACCTGGCCGCCTACCCCGCGGAATTCATGACGGAAGGGCAGGCGGCCATCGCTCAATTCGTGACGTGCCGCTCCAAGGTTGGTCGCCTTGGCTTGAAAGTAGCCCCTGTGTTGGAAGGCGCGCCTTGCTGCTGCTTGTGGTGGGCGGCCGTCGGTAGCTTTCTCAAGGAATTTTTGCTTGGGGGGTACGGGGGTTAAGGCGAGGGAAACGAAGCCCCCCTCTCTGTTTCAATAGTAATAATATCCTCGCGACGGCGGTCCGTGGCCGGATGTAGTCGTGGTCGCGTCGTAGGTGAGTGGAAGGAGAGGTATCGGAACTAGTGTTTGGTGCCTGTCTTTCGTTGGCGTCTCCACTGTTGCAGGTGTCGGCCGTGGTAGTGGTGGTGTGGTTCGTAAGGTGAAGAGCGGCGAAACGACCGGCTGCTCGGTGTTGCTCACGAATCCCTTTTGCCCCTCTCCGTCGTCACGAGAAGGCGTCACTGGCCCTCCCTCCCCTGTCTGCCAGCTGCCGTGACATTGTAACAATAACACCAGCAGCAGCAGTAGCAGCAGCAGCAACAGCAGCAGCAACAACAAACAACAAGGACGACGACGTTGTCGATGACGACAACGGTTAAACAGACGAGATTTATCTTAAACGCTTCGTTGTGTTGCCGCGTTTTTACCGTTTCGCCTGGCAGTCCGGGATGATGTCGTTCCCGAACTTCAACGGCAACGACAAAGCCCTCCAGTACGTGGACTTCCGGCTGCTGGCGGAGGAGGCCGAGAGAGCCGGCGTCGACGTCCGATTCGTTTACCTCGCCCGATCGGCCAGGAGCATCCTCGTCTCGGACACGCAGCACAACCACTACGGGGGGACGTGAGTGTTATTTTTTTCTTGTGCGTGTGTTTGATGGGCATCGACCGCGCCAAGCTGGTTGCTGGCCATTAAAAAGGCTTGCGGCGGGCCTTGGGAGTGGAACAACGATATATATGTGTGTTTGTGTGTGTTTTTGTTTTGGTAGCTTCGACGCCGCTATCTAGCCCGGTTTGTGTCGATGTCTCGGTCTGGAGGCATGGAAAAGCGCGGACCTCGCTAGCAGCACTCTGTGGGTTGTAGATGCACTCTGTTAGGTTGTTCACAATTGCATCTACAACGGTGTCGGCAGCAGGAAGAAGTCAACCTCTCCGGAAGTACATTCTGTGTTTGTTGTGTTTCTACTCGGCATCAACCGCGCTACGTAAGTGGCTGACGAACGACCAGTGGCTGACCAATGAAAATCAGGTGTCCGTCCACACCGGGCGGAAATGCGAGTAGTAATTGCGAGGTCTCCCGAATTATAGCCACAAACGAGACTAGCGAGCTTGGTGTATCTGTCTACGACACCCTCTGGCGGCGGAATTTATCGTCACTACGCGCCCTTACCGGAGACGTGCCCGCTGCTTGCACAGGGTGACGGCCCTGGCAAGACCTAGTCAACCCACAAGCCGAAGCCGGAGTTTGCGATGAGATACCATTCTTCCATGTCCATGCCGCGGCTTGTCGCATAGCATGGACACCCACAAAGACCGGGCAGTGTTGGTCAACACCCACCGCACCCGTGCTGCTGTGTCCGGGTGTGCCAGGTGTTCGATTAGCTTTCGTCGTTCCTCACCCCAGATAGCGGTCTCTCGAGACCTTAAAGGCAGGAAGCGCCATCGTGTGCCCTTCTGTTTTTCTTCATCTATTCCCCGGTCTCGAACCTTCCGACCAATGCCATCGCACACACCCACCCTTGGTTGCAAAGCGTGTTCGCGTTTTTTTGTCCCTCTACAAATCATGACTGGCGTATTTTCATTGGCCGGCAAGGTCGATGCTCATCCAAACAAACACACACACGCGCGTGCGCGTCTTGCTCGACAACGGCAGCGGTAACGGCAACGGCAACGGCAACAACAAGACTGGCGTCTTTTCATTGGTCAACCGGTTAGCGCGGTCGATGCTCATCCAAACACACACGCGTGCGCGTTCTGCGCGACAGCAGCAACGACAACACGGTTGGCGTATTTTCATTGGCCAGCTCGATCGATGCTAACACGCGTGCGCTTTTTTTTTTTTGCTCGGGCAACGGCAACCAGGTTCATGAGGGAATCCCGAGCCCTCATCAACAACGCAGCGGTGGTAGAGTCCACCTTCCAGGAGCTGGGCCCGGGCTTCGCCACCTGCTTCCGGTACGAGAGCATGTCCGACCCGGAGCAGACGCACCGCGTGGCGCGCTTCATCGCTCCCGATGAGGACACGGCGCAGCGCCTCGAGGGGAAGATGCTCGAGAACGTCAAGCCGGGGTCGGCGTCGCCGCGGCCGTCCAATCCGACCATGGAGTGGACAAAGCAACAGGTGGGTTGGCAGGGAGGGTTTTTGTCGGTTTGACTTTGTTGTTGTTGTTTTCCTCCGCCTGTTTCGTTTCTTGTTTTTTTCTTTTTTTTTCATCTCTCGCGCGTGTGCCGTTGTTGTTGTTCTCATATTGTTGCTTTTTGAGCCTGTCGTTTGGCTGACTCTTTTCGTGCATCGGTGTGTTTGTCGATGGCGCAGTGGCAGCAGTAGTGAAGCAACAACAACAGCAGCAGCAGTAGCAGCAGCGTCGGCAGATTTGGTGATAATATCATCCAGGTACCATGTACAACCATGGTAGACAGAAGGGTTGACTTCATGGGTCGTTTTCTTGTTTTCTTTTTGCACAGCGGCCCCAACATCATTTGATGTCATCCATTTGTGTACACGGCGCCCGAGTACATCCACCGGGGCCAAATGCACGAATCGTCACAAGTACCACCGAATGAAAGTGCCCCCGGAAGAGCTGTCCGCAAGACAGCTCCACGTTTTTACACTTACACGTACCCAACCCCCTCCCCAAACGCGCGTGCCCCCCTAATACAATCTCGCGCGCTATTGTGTTTGACCCCTGCCCGCGCTATTATGAAGCTCACTCACCCGCATGTTCCATGTGCGAATCTTGCCAAACATGGTGAAACGCCTGCTTGGCACGCCCTACCTAGGGTGGGGCACGCTCCTATGTTTTGCGTACGATAGCGGATTGACCATTGCTCTACCCAGGGGGTGCGTTGACTACGTTCTTCGAACCAACCGTGTTCGCAGGTCCCGCAAGAAGCAAAAAGAATGTGACAAAGTAGCTCCGCGAAACTCGGTGGTACCCCGCATCAGCCCCCGGTATGGGTTGCCCTGTGACACCCATCTGGTACACACCTTTGTCACTGCTGGGGCTCCCCACACAGATGGCTACATGCTATGAAATCAGGAGGATACCCCAAGCTTGTCACAGTATCTTCGACACGTGCAGACGTTTGGTTTGCCCTGGTTTCGCTCTAAACCTGGCAAATGCCGTGCTATCAAAAGTGGAAGAACTGCTGCTTCAAGCTCGTTTCGTAGCTGTCAGCACCGAACTTCTCGCTTCTATACACCTCCGAAGGAGGTGACGAACTCGCTCGAGACTTCCGCCAGAATGGATCACGTAGGCATAGGTAGCATTGAGGGGTTGGCGCAATATTTGATCGCCACTGCGAGGGTCGTTCCAGTGAAACGCTCTATCGCCTATATCGAACAAACACGCCCCACATGTCTACCTCCAATTTTGTTTGGATTTCTCCGGCAATATCCTCCGAAATTTGGCCTTCGGCGCTCTACTCACCGCAAAAACACGAACCCGTCCAATTTTTTTTGTGGTACCACGCTGTAGAGACATGCCTGAGGTTGCTTTAGAGGGCTGGCCACGTTTGGGACTGCCACAACAGCAGGAATTGCTGTCGCATGACGGTCTGTCTCATAGGAATTCGGCCGCTGTGGGGGCTCCGAGTGATCGATCGATGCCTCGTCGTAACCAAAAAAAGGAAGAACGCTTTTTTGCGAGGACTTGCAAAACGGGTGGAACATGAACATACGGGAAGGATGCAACGACGACACCCCCTCCCCGCGCCCAACCGCTGTACCCCCCTTGAGTCGGACAACATCTTCGTATGTAAGCCCTTTCCCATCTGTCTGCTTATGTCTGGCAACATCTCCGTACATTCGTGTATCCTCCCGCTTCCTTGAACCCGCCGCTCGCTCCGCCCCTCCGCGCCTGCAATTGGGGCATTTCCTTTGCGAAAGGGACGGCTTCCAAATGGCGCGATGAACTATCACCCGAAAGACCCTAGGTACGGTCCGCATCGCGCGAAGTACGACGGGAATCAGTTTCTCAACGCGGGTACCGCGGAGCAGGCGGCCGAGCTGGAGGCCGCGGCGGCGGAGGCCGCGGCGGAAGCGGCAACGACGATCGAGGCGGAAAGGGCGAAAGAAGAGGCCAGAGACAGAGACAGCTGGGACTTGTCGTTCGAGCTCGTTGTCGCGCGACTCCAGCAGAAGCTGGATAAGATCGAGGAGATCGTGTGCACAACGACGGCGACAACGATGGGCACGAGCGACGGCTCTGCATGACGCTATCGTTGACGAAGCGCACATGTGTGTGTGTGTGTGTGTGTGTGTGTGTGTGTGTGTTTATCTGCGTCCCCCCCCCCCCCCTCCCAGACGAAGAAGGTTGTAGACCTGGGGGCTCCGTGACGTGTCGATAGTGATGATCGGTGGGGTAGGGTTGAGGCGTGACGTGCTCGTTGCCGTCAGATTGGATCGATATGGATCTCAAACGCCTGGATTTTGTCGCCCGTGTATTGTTTGCGCACGACGCCTTAGGCCGCAACGAGAGAGGTGCTATAGGGAGGCGAATAATACGCCTCGTTGATTGCGAGGGTGGGGCAGGGGGCTGGTTGGGAATGAATGGTAAGCAAATAAAGTCTGCCCCCGTGCGTATTTGGCCTATTGCGGGAGACTTGCTTGCCCTTCGGGCGATGGCACGAAGCGCTGCTGGCCACAAAACGAAAAAATGAGAAACGTTTCTATTTAGTCAGAAACTCCTCTGGGCTACATTTGTACCCCAGGTTCTCGGGGGATAGGGCAATGAGAGGATGCTGCTTTCGTCGTTTCGGAAAAAGTGGGGATGAGTTTTTTGTGAATTGTTTGCGTGGGGTGCGCGACGGTAAGTTGGTTGTACGTGCGGGCGTGTGTTGTGTGCGCAAGCTCCCGCGGGGGTTTCGGTGTTTTTTGTTGTCTTGTTCTTGTCCTTTTTTCTGCGTTTCCTTTTTTGTACCAGAGTTATGTCGTATCCGGTGACAGCGGCGAATTGTGTCTTTCTTGGTGCCAGCGTCGTGCCAAATCCGGTGAACAGGCGGATTGCGTGCCTGTTTGCCTTGCGCCATCCCCCCCTACGAGCGCGTTCGTCCCCGTGGGCGTGAACCCATTTTGATCCCCCGCGTGTACGAGTTTTCGTAAGGAATTCCTTAAGAAAACTCTTAAAGAAAGTTCTTAGAAGCGCTCGAGGGGCTCTTCCTTGATGCTTATGCGTACAAGAGCACAGAAACCTCTGTTGGTCGTACGAAGGGTTCGTCGAACGATTGGGATTGTTTGTCGTTGTGAAATCGACGGCGCCGTGGCTCAGTGTAGGACCCAACCGGGCGCGGTCACGCTAGGGCTATTCATTCAGTGCGTGGAGGGAATTTTTGTTCCCCTATCCTGTAAAGGAAGGCTTTTCCCCCTCACCTGTAAATGTCAAAGTGTCTGTGTTGTTAATTAATTTTGCTTCTGCCAGATAGCGTTGTTCGCGCGTAATGTGGAGGACCCTCGTCGTTTGAATAGCCCACCGGGTGGTTTCAACGAAGAATGGGGCATTGGCCGGGAAAAAAGGGGTACGGGGTTGGAGTAAGCGAAGGGGGGGGGCGCGAAGCCGCCGCCACCCAGAACCCGGTTTTCCAAGTCCAAATAGACAGGGAACGTAGGTATTTCGGCCGGTTTGCGTCCGAAAGAAAACTTTTTCATCGCTGTTGATGCTCCCGTTTTCCTCGATAAAGCACGGGGGCGAGAGTACCAGCGTGACTAGGAATGTTGAAAGTGCTTTTGCCATCATCCGTTCCTTGTTGGAAAGGAGTAGTGGCTTCCTTGTTGAGAAGAAGCGATGGCGAGGAAAGGTAGAGAGACAAGGGAATACATACACGGAATCAACATTATCCGAGCGATTCTCTTGGGCAAATTGGTAAGCGTGTTCCGGAGAGAGCACTTCGGACCCCGGGAAGAGTAACATTGGGTGCCTGCCGTTCCTAGTAGTGTAGTTGCCCTTCCTTGTCTTTGCCACCGTGCACCAGGGGGATCGTTTGTCCGCTGTTGTACTGCTAGGGGTAGCCTTCTGACCGTGAACGGCATCAGCAGTGTCTATCGCAGACACCTGTTGTGTAGGACACGCGTGTGTACTAGTAGGCCGGGGCAACAACGCCAAGGTACAAGACAAAGGAGCCCGTAATCAGTAAGGCGGGCTTCTGTTTTCGCGAGGAAGGTTGGGGACGAGACACAGCCCAGCGGTAGTCATGAGTGTGTATCCCGGTGTCTTAGCAACTGCTACTACAGCAACGTGGTGCTTGTGTGTTGGCACCGTCAGGTCGTTTTGGACGGGATACGCACTTCCCAAGAATAGGTCGTATGTCATGTGGCGAAGGAGGTGGTCTGATGTGGACCCTCGGCACGGCGTGTCGTCTTAAACTTGGTAGACGTTTTTTTTTTTTGTTGAATGGTGTTGTATGATTATTGCAACGTAGCTCGGGGGGAGCCCTGTGAACACGCAAAGGCGGAACACTGCCGGGTGCAGCGCGCCTGAATTAGAAGTACTGCTGTGTGACGCGACAGCAGCTGGAAAGAAGCTGGCGTGTAGGGCGTTCGTTCGTTCGTTCGTTAGTTCGTTCGTTCTGGTGGCGGCGCATGCTCTGAATCGCACGACATGAGTAACATTAGAAGCATACAATCGTGAAAAGAGGGAATCGTTCTCCACAGACAGACGTTGGGGAGAGTGTACCTTTGTGAAGGTGGTCTCCACACAACACAATATCTGATCTTTTTTTTCGACTGAAAGCTTGGGCGCACAAGTGCATCTGACGAGTGTTTCGCCGAGCGATGTATGGGTGTTCTACGTAGCCTAATGGTATGGACACCATGTAGAGAGGAGGACTTCACAAATATTGTTGTTGTTGTTGTTTTGTCTTCACATTAGAAACCGTTCCGGTCTCCGCTCAGTACCTTATAATGTCCGTACTGGTCCAACTGCGTTTTTCCTCTTCCTGTTTTCCCTTTTTTTCCCACCCGGTTGATTAGATTTATTTTTTTCTCTGCTCCTCTGCAGTGAGTGCGCGCATCATGCATGAAATGCATGGCAATGACTGCTGTGACTGACTGACTGACTGACCATCCTCACAACAATAGATAATAATCGATCCTCTACTGCTTGCTGGTGGGTAGGGCAATGGTCTGCAGTTGTCCTGGTCATAAGACTCTTACGTCTATACTCTGCAGTATATATTACAGTATGCATATCGTACCAGTATTGTCTACTGCTTTATTATGCACATGTACAAGCTTAGTCTACAACAAGCTCGACACAAGCCACACGATTAGTCTAGGCCTCCTCTATAGGCTACTTACTGCCTATTGTTGATTGATTCGCAGTCTACAGAGAGAGTGCCAACCATGCAAAATATTGTATGTATTTTTTATGAAGCAACGAACACAACGACGATCTTGTCTCCTAACTTCTACATAGCAGTACATACAGCGCATAACGATCTTGTGTGTACCGTATTATGCATACAATACAACAGCAGTGCATGGGTATTGTACGGCACGTGAACGTTTTTTTCAACCTCATTCAGCACAAATACACCGCGTCCCCCTGGAGATTTACATGTAACGACATCGAGGCAATGTAGTCTAAATACCGAAGAGTTCGAAGCTCGAAGAAGTTCGTCCTTCATTTATTTCACCAACAGCAACCCACGTGCGTGAAATGGTAGAGGCGTGGCGGCCGAGCGGAGTCGGCGAAGACATAGCCACGCCTCCTCATATTTTTTTCGCGCTCCGCCGGAATTATTTGATTTTTGTGAGGGCTGTTCCCCTACCCAATAAAGCCGGGGAACAGCCAGCGGAACCTTCTTTGCCCGCGAAAAACAAATGCCCCCCCTCGCCTACAATAGCGGATCCGTCACTGCTGCAGCGTGGAGGAGCAGTTTGAGTTTGGAGAGGACTGACTCTCTCTTTCTCGCACATCATAGGGTCACCGAGCAATCTTGCTACTACGGAGCTTTCTTCCCTGCTGCTGCTGCTGCTGCTGCTGCTGCTGCTGCTGCTGCTGCTGTAGGTCTGTCGGAAAAGCTCTACTGCCCCTGCCTCCGGGGACACCGCACACAAAACAGACCGTCGTGTCACCACCAGCACCGCCGGCACCGCCGGCCGTGAGCTTTCAAAGCAGAACCCCTCCCCCCCCTCTTGTGCTGCTGTGCTTCTGGGAGGGGCTGGATTTCGCGGCCCCTGTATCATAACATCGCTGCGGCTGCCATCGGACAACCAGGGGAGAGCGTTCGAGAACCGGTTGTCGTAATCAAGCTCATCAAGTTTCGGAGTTTCCCGGCGGCGGTGGTGGCATGGCAGGCCCCACCATTGGCAGATTGCTGCCCAGGAGGAGAACCTTTGCGGTTTTCTCGTTGACCCTGCTGCTGGCCGTCACGGGCCTTTTCCTGGCGCAGCCGGAACTTCTGCAACAGCTGACGGCAAGCCACAGCAGGCCACAGCTTAGGCAGAGCTTCGAAGGAGGTGAAGGTGAGATGATCCGCCGGAGGAATCATGTCATACGCAAGATAAGCACCCCCCCCTGGCCGTAATATTAATATTGTCCCGAACATTTTGCAGCTCTGATGAGAGGCACGCCTCACAGCTCGTAAGCGGGGAAGGGGGCGTTTTTGGCCTGAAGCGGGGCTGATGGGTTTGCGTACCGGGCCGTCGCGCGTTGGTGCATTGTTCTACATTGTTTTGTATTGCATATGTACAATGCAACGGAGAGCGCCGACGGCGATGATTCGACGGAGGCACGCATACGGCGGCGGCGGCGGCGCGATCGACGAAGGCGGCCCAAGGCCTACCGACAGACCGACCCAACCCTACCAAACCCTACCCTACCCTGCCCTACCCCAACGGCGACGAACAACGTGGCGACGGCGGTGCTACTTTTACTGCTGTTCGCAAGTATTTCTTGTATGGGAAGTAGACAATAGGTGGGGATATGCATATACCCTCCCCTTTCTCAGCAGACACATGTGGGTATGTACTCGAAAATTTGCTTTGCGGAGACCGCTCGTGACAGGGCAACACCACTCAAAATATTATTCCGATGCATGGAAAACATGGGCAGGGCCCATGCACAGCAGTACAGCATGGACATCAACTTTTTACGGACTTTCGGGCAAGTCTACGTCTTAACCCTACACTCTGCCGCGGCGCACAAGGGCTCAGCAGGTTGCCTGATTTCGTCCGAAATTGCGGTGGTTTACCCACCGAAATCTACTATTTAATACCAGTACTTCTACTGTGTTCGTGTACCCACCTTTGTCTCCCTTGTGACCCACTTTTGTTCGACTTTTTCAATCGAAATACCCCCCCCGTGCGGTGACGTGGAGGTCGATTTTCGAATGAAACAATCGGACAATATTAGGTGCACATTTCGGACAACAGCAGTCGTGGGTCACAAAGCAGATAACGTGGGTGCATGAAAAAATTAGTAGATTTCGGGGGGTATGAATATTTTCGGACAGAATCGGGATACCTGTTGAGGCCTTGTGCGCCGCGGCTGTGTGTTGGGTAAAGACGTAGACTTAGACGTGCCCGAAAGTCCGTTGAGGTTGATGCCCATGCTGTGCATGGGCCCTGCCAACGTTTTCCATTCATCGGAATGATATTTTGGGTGGTGGTGCCCTGTCACGAGCGGTCTCCGCAAAGCAAACTTTCGAGTACCCACTTTTATGTCTTAGAAACGGGTGGGTATACCCACTTTTGCCTATTTCCCTATGTAAGTACCACGGCAGTCGAAGGAGATTGGTGGGTTCAAAGTCTTTGCTTTCTACCAGTGAGTTGGAAGGATGGATACTGGGCTAATCTCTCTCTCTCTCTCTCTCTCTCTCTCTCTCTCTCTCTCTCTCTCTCTCTTTCTTTTGGTTGTGTCAACTCAGACCCCCTACCAGGTGATTCAGAAACGGCCGCCGCCACTCCCGCTCCTACCCCCCCTCCGACCCCGGCGCCCAGCCCGCCCCCAACGCCGACCCCCTTCTCGTTCCGCTACCCCGTAGTGGTGGAGAAGAAGGCAGTCAGCTCCCGAATGCGCGTCGTGTTTCTGGTTGGACTGGAAGGTGAGAGAGAGAGCTGTATCCCGACATACGGAAAGCACCCCGTCACCTGTGACTAACAACGAAATTGCAGGCCCCAAGAAAAAGAAAAGAAGTGTTAGGAACGCGACCGCGAGAACATTCGCTCAGGTAATAATCCAACATAACACCTATACCTGATACTTTTTTGTCGCTGTTGGGGGTCCCCACGGAGGTTGCAAGAATCGAGCCTCGGGCAACAGGAAAAAAAAACACAAGGCTCTTTGGTGGTGGCATCTTTTTGCCGCCAGCAGACGTGCCCGTCCTCCTGGTGCCTCGTCTCTTTCTGGCCCCCAGTGTTTTGTTGGGCGCGAGACGCTTGTTGCTAGTAGAGTGGCGCAACAGGTGGGGTCGTCGGTGTCTGCAAAGAGGGGAATGGAAGAGTAGCGCATCAGAACAGTGGTCGTCGGTCGCAAGAGGGGTATGTAGGCTGAATCCTCCGCCCGCGGGGGGGGGTGCGCTTAGCGAAAAAGGACGGTCGATCACGAGGCGTTTCTCGACACAGGTTACGTACGTACTCGGGGGGGGGGGGGGGGGGGGGGGGAACCCCACCCCGGGGGAGAAATTTTTCGGGGGGGTTTTTTAAACAAT